CTTTTTATTCTCCATAATGAGTCCATGAAGCTTAGTCAGGTGATGATTCATAGAAACCGTGTGGACAGGGCTCCATCTAGTGGTTAGAAACAGCAATGTAGCTTTGATTCTCCCCGTGTTACGCACACACACACACGCACACACAAACACACACACACACACACACACACACACACACACACACACACACACACACACACACACACACACACACACACACACACACTTAGTAATCTTTATACTGCCAGGACGTCAACAATAACTCAAAGGACTTCTTAACTCAGGCAGATTCCAGAGAAAGAACTGGAGTACATGGCAAATTTTTAAATTATTTTAATTTAATTATTTTTTTAACAGTTATTTCTTTAATTGTGAATTTATTTTCTTAACTGATTATTTGTAAGTTCTAACGGTTTATATTTTTTTTAACAGTAATTTATTTTATTTCATGATAATAAAAAAAATAAAACGGTATATATTATCTAAGCAGTAGCCTAAGCAGTTATTTATTTTACTTTATTTAGTTTTTTAACGGTAATTGATTTTTTTTTTTATCCCATTTTTGTAAAGATTATTTGACATATTTAAGAATTCTAGTGTTTATTTCATTTATTCTTTAACGATTATTCATTAACTAAATGTTTGAAACGATTATTGGTTTTATTCATTTTTTAAAGGTTATTTATTCCCGCGGCACTGCCTGGCACAATGCTGCATTCAGGGTACCTGTATAAAAAGTAGGTCTGATTTTATTTAATTTTATTTAAACCTCTCTGAGACATGTAAAGACGATCGTTAAGATATGTGTTCGAAATCAAGACAAACTTAAAAATATGTTTGAATTAACAGTAGCTGAGGTTATTTATTTCATTGTTGATTTATTACATTTATACGTACTGGTACCGACCTATGGTACCGACTGGTACTAAAAAGGTTTTTTCGGTATGGGACTCATATATACTATATTTTCTGTAGACCCTGAACGCAGCGTAACGTTAGCTAGCTTCTCTGCTAACTGTAGCAAACAATGTAAAAATCTAACAAGCTTCGCTCTTTTTTAATACAATAAAGGACTTATTTACAACAATGACGATACACCGGAATATCCCTGCTGTTACTAAGGTAATTCCAAACCCTGTTAATGAGGTAAAAATGCCATAACTTTAAGGATAAATTGTGAAACTAGTGGTATTGTTTGCTAAGAGCCGTTAGCTTGTTTCTGTATCACCATGGTTATCACCTGCAGCGCTGGTAGGACATAAACAGAGCTCACACCTGCAGCTACACAAGAAAGGAAATATCCGGTACATTTTCAGGTGTCGTGAGAGTCAGTGAAGTTCACCTTAATTACACTTGATGAGCTGTTAAAGGTCGTGTCGCTCTCACGTGTGGCTGTATCTCTGCCCGACAAGTTACCTCACCGTTACATTACCTTTACATCACCGTTACATTACTCTTACATTACCTTTACATTACCGTTACATCACCGTTACATCACCGTTACATTACTCTTACTTTACCTTTACATTACTCTTACATTACCGTTAAATTACCGTTGCATTACGTTACATTACCGTTACATTACACTTACATTACCGTTACATTACTCTTATATTACCTTTACATTACCGTTAAATTACCGTTGCATCACCGTTACATTACCGTTACATCACTGTTACATTACCTTTACTTTACACTTACATTACCTTTACATTACCTTTACATTACCCTTACATTACCGTTACATTACCTTTACATTACCTTTACATTACACTTACATTACCCTTACATTACCTTTACATTTCTGTTACATTACCTTTACATTACCCTTACATTACCGTTACATTACCTTTACATCACCGTTACATTACCTTTACATCACCGTTACATTACTGTTACATCACCGTTACATTACCGCTACATCACCGTTACATTACCGTTACATCACCGTTACATTACCGTTACATTACTCTTACATTACCTTTACATTACCGCTACATCACCGTTACATCACTGTTACATTACGTTACATCACCGTTACATTACGTTACATCACCGTTACATCACCGTTACATCACCTTTACATTACCCTTACATCACCGTTACATTACTCTTACATTACCGTTACATTACCGTTACATACATACAAGACAACGTGTAAAGATACATAAAGATTTGAAATGGTTTGTCACTCAGACATCACCAGTCCAACCAGTACAATTGTTGTTTTTTAGTTTAAAGAAATATCTTTTGTCTTAGAGACTCTCTTGAACATAATTGTTACCAAAATATGATATGATGGTTATTTTTCTGTGTGCGTGTGAATATATGTATATTTAGTTGTATGTCATTATATAGTTACTATGCATAGATTTAAATGAGCAATATGTAACTGACACCTAGTGTTTAAAACGGATACTGCAGTCAAAATTTTAAACATTGTAGAGAGCTGTCTCCCCCCGCCCCCTCCTCTCTAGAGTCGATGTTCACGCAGGTTGCAATGTGGTGTACACTGAAGCTTCAGTGTTTATCCAGCTCTGCATCGGTCTGTGAACCTTTCTGTATTCTAACCTCTCTTCATTTTTCAAAGGGGGCGGGGGGAGACAGCGCTCTCCAATGTTTTGAATTTGGACTGCAGTACCCATTTTAAACACTAGGTGTCAGAGTTTGTGTGTGTGACCAGTGCTAGGTCAGTATGTTGAATGTCAGTATGTTAATATCACTGCTCTGTTTGACCTTCTTCTTCTTCTTCTTCTCCTGCAGTTTCTTCTCTGCTTTGTGAGCTTCAGCCCTGACTGTGAGGAGACAGAAGATATGACGCTCTGACAACATCACAAACTTTAAGGTATGTTGTAGCTTATTTGTCCTGCAGCCTTATTCACAAAGCGTCCTAAGTACAAAGAGCCATTCCTAGTGACAAAATTGTAAACACATTCTTAGAATCATGATATTACTTAGGATTTCCCCTGAAGGACTAGATCCTGGACTGGTGAAGTTTATCAGACAATATTAGCATGTCCAGTGACTATCACAGATATGTGCCAATATTACTAAATTTATTTAAACCAGTCAGATAGCATTTAATTTGAGTATCATTGTATTAAACTAGCAGTTCTTTACCACCAGCAGGGGGCGTGATATGGATTACAACAAGCATTGTCACTCTCTAGAGTGTGGAGCGAGGATGCAGTTACTTTCTGGTTGAGTGACCATCCTGTCTTCATTATAAATCTTTTCCAAGTGTTTAATAACTGCATTTGATGGATCAACACAATAAACATATTTATTATATATATTATATAATGAAGCCAATGTGGAAGTGCAGAAACCTGCAGTTCGTGGAGTGTCTGCTTGAGCATAAATTGACATATTTACAGCCTGGTACAGGATCTGATTAGTTATGCAAACATGTGTGATCGCTGGCAACAGGGTCGACCGCATCTCCTCACTAAGCTCAACGTTTCTCTCTTTTCTAAACCACCTGCTGCATACAACTATCGAACGTAGTATTCAATGTACTGCATACTACATTCAACAGTAGTCTGTAGTGTGACCTCCAGTCTGTGGTTGGTCTGCAGTACACCTGGCCCGGCTTAGCTGATTTTCTAGTCTTGGAATGAGGAAGTAAACAACAGCCCAGCTGATGTCAAATGCTGCTACAGTGTAGCGTCTACTTACAGTCTGAAAAAAGCTGATGAGAGATTCATTTAGATTTTCATGATTTAGAGAATCAACAGATCAAGATAACTGGTGGTCTGTTTGTGTGGTTTGGTCTGATCGAGATTATTTCCTCTGTTACGATGGATGCTGTTGTCTGTCATGTCGACCTCTGACCTGCCGTTTTGCATTGTGGGAAACAGGAGGAGAGGGAGACTGGTCTGATGCTGACTGGAGATTTTTACTGAATAAGTACGAGAGCCAGGTATTGCAATACTGAGGACCTCACATTGTTTACATACTGCATATTGGACCAATCAGGACGATCTACTAGTTTAGTTGGAGGTTTAGGAAACGGCCACACAGAGCACTTTTTCTTAATCGTTTGAATCAGCCCAGGCTTTGTTTTTATATCTTAGAAACAGTCTCTATCACACTGTTATCCAGAGAGCTCCAGCTGCTTCCTGTGTGCTGTTTCCTTTCTTATGGGTCATGTTTGTTTTACTAACCAGCTGATGAACTTGTTAGCTCCTTTGGGCCTGTTTTTAATTCAGGCTGTGTTTCATTATGATCAGCTTGTGTTTTTACCTGTGTTTGATGGTGTTTAAAAGTGCCACCTTGTGCTTTGCATGGCTGATATTTGCACAAGTGAGAGGCAAATTTCAGCCTCGCATGCAAGCATGTAGACAATGACGTCTTTTCTGTTCTATTCTGGGCTCAGAGCAGAGTCACAGTTAGACTGAAGGACAGGTGATTTGGTGTTTGCACCGCCACAATAAAAGCCTCTCTACATTAAAAGTGTAGGATAAAGATAAAGGAAAGGAGTTTAGGCCAGGGGCTTGTCTGTCTGGCGTGCTGCATCCTCGTTTGTGATCATTTCCTGCATAGACATGAACAGTATCACAGGTCACATGTTGTATAACACAGCAGGTGTGTGACTCAGCTGGGTTGGTCAGGAATGTGAAACTTAAAGCCTCTGTTTGCCTCTCCCCCCTCCCTCTCTTTCTCCCCTCCCTCAGTAAAAGCCTTTAGTTTTGTTTTCCCTGTTTCATCAGTGACGTCACCTCTCAGGCATCACACGGTCAAAAATACTGAATCATTAACTTTGTGTCACAGCAGATACGAGAGAGATTTGAAAATGAGTGACTGCTTCTGACAGCAGGTTAACTGTCAGTAGTGTGCAGATGTTTGTGTGCAGCTGTTTGTTGGAGTCTCTCTTGTGTGTTTTTGTTAGTCACTGTTGTGTTGAGGCAGGAATGTTTCCAGTAACACAAGAGTTTGGCTGCTGTTCTCGATCAGCTGTAGTTTAACTTTCAGTTTCGTTTCTGTGTCAGTCGGCTCAGAAAGAAACACGGAGGAGGAGGGGGAGGAGGAGGAGGGAGGTTTATAAGCTGGACAGGAAGGTTCATCGTCAGTCTTAAAGTTCAGACTGAGAAACAACACATTCCGTGTTTTTTAAGAGTCGGTAAGTTTGATTCATTTTTATCTTTTCTTGTTCTTCATGCAGCTTTGTTCTGTTTATTAACAGCAAAGAGACAGTTTATTAACTTGTCTCTTTGCATGATGCTGGTGTTAGATGTATTCCAACAGTTGTTTTTTTACTTATGCAATCCACAAAAAAACAGGGACATGACCTGCCTATAGTGATTATAATTCTTTGGTTATTGAGTCACAAACATTGGATATATGTTACCTTCATATAAGCATGTTTCTTTAAGTGTGTCCTGTCTACATGATGAATTATTCCCAGAGATAAACTTTAGTTTAAGCTCTGTATAGTTTTTTGTATGAAGTAATCCAAAGGAAACTTCCTCATCCTGTCTCTTAATGCCTCTCACCCACACACACACACACACCACACACACACACACACACACACACACACACACACACACACACACACACACACACACACACACACACACACACACACACACACACACACACACACCCACACGGTTGTGTTCATTGGGCGTGCCTCTGATGATGAATCCACCATGATTATACTGTTTTTATTCTTTTACTGCACAGGTGAGTTATATTGTATTGTATATTTTATGGATAATGTGATGATTTGACTCTTCTGTATATTCAATGTCGGTAATCACTGATGCTGAATTTTTTTATATTTTAAAATGTTTTGGACCAAAGTTTTCTGAGAAGCACCAAAGCTGTGAGATCAAATACTCAGACAGAGAGTTTCATTATAACAGCATGGCTGGTTGACTGTGTGTCGTTTAGGTCAGCACCAGATCTCTGAACTCATCAGAAAAACGATGACAAAGACATCCCTCTGTCACTTAGACCGTCTTCTCTGTAGTTCTAGAGTAGCCAGCTGTAAATGATAACGACATCCAGCCAGGACAACCTTTCTGTGTGCTGCATTAACAGTCTAATTAGAAACTATTAAAGGAGCAGTATATAACTCTGAGACTTAGTGTTTAAATTCAAACATCATAGATAGCTGTCTCCCCCCGCCCCCGCCTCTATAGAGTGGATGCTCCCGCAGGTTGCCATGTGGTGGACTCTGAAGTTTCAGTGTTTATCCAGCTCTGCATCGGTCTCTAAACCTTTCTGCATTATAACCTCTCTCCATTTTTCAAAAGCATCTCCAATATTGATCCTAGTTTGAGCACGTTTCTGCTCGTGGAGCTTATTAGAAACATGCAGAGGCTTTTTAGGTCGGGTACAATCACTTCTATCTGAACCACTTCTCTTACCCGCTTCCATCACTGCAACACCTGTTGGTTTGACCTGATAACTGCTCTCATATCTGGCAAACTGAGGGGCGTCCAAAACGGCCGTGTAGGGGTGCCTTAAAACCGCCTACCTTCTCTGGTCCAAACAAATCCAGAGCATTCAGGACCAGAATCTAAAGTTAGAAGGAGGACATACTGCCTGCTGCATTGTTGTCAGAGAAGCCAGCACTTCAACATAACATGTTTCCTTAATGTCTGGCTTATCACGTCTGTTCTCTAATTTAATCATTAAAGATCTATGAGCAAGATTTTGCATAACTAAGGTAGTCAAACTGTTTAATACAGTTTACAAACTTCCTCATCCTGTCTCTTATTGCCTCTCACCCACACCCACACACCCACACACACCACACACACACACACCACACACACACACACACACACACACACACACACACACACACACACACACACACACACACACACACACACACACACACACACACACACACCCACACAATGAATCCATCAAAAAAAGCAGAAAAACTCCTGCTCACTGCAAACTACATAAAAAAAGAAACGTTGCTGACACTCTTATTTTATTTAGACTGTGTGCAGGAGTTGAAAAAAGTATCCACTATTGCAGGGTAAGACTTCTATTTTCTTGCCATGGTATCAGACATATATCGATATAGTTTTTATATATTGATTTTTACTGATGTGGTATCAAAGTTTAAAGTTCTGGTATCGTGAGCACCCGTCCAGGAAGTGAACGAGACATCCAGCTGAAGAACAAACGTGTTGGTGTAAGTTGGAGTATTGAGTGTGGGTATCTGTTTGGATCTCTGTCTGTTGGATATCTGAGTGTGTTTAAGCTCATTTAGAGTCTGTAGCTGGTTAGTTCCAGCAGTGACTCTGGCAGCAAACATCTGAGCAGTGATCTTCTATTAAACCAGTCTGTCTTTGTCTCCTGATAGGACAAGTAAAAATGGAGAAGGCTCTGGAGGAAGTGGTGTCCATGGTGAAGCATCACCCAGCTGGGATCCCCCTGAAGAAGCTGGCCGTGGTCTACAGTCAAACGTATCACAAAAACCTGACGCTGTCCTCGCTGGGCTTCGACTCCATCAGCGAGCTGGTCTCATGTCTGCACAAGCACCTGATCTTGGACGGGGAGCTGGTTATTCACAAGGACAAGTGGCGTAAAAGACGGAACAAAGCTCGAGCTGGAACTGGAGCAGGGGCAGGTGCTGGACCTTCAGAAAAAGCCACAGAGGAGTCTGAGAGGACGGAGCAGGTTCTGGAGAATATTGTGACCATGATGATAGAACAGCCAGCAGGAGTTCCTCTGAAGAAGGTGGCCATTGTCTACAGTCAGATGTACAGACACAACTTGTCCTTGTCCTCTCTGGGCTTTACATCCATGTCCTGTCTGCTGGAGGCTCTGAGTGGAGACCTGGTGCTTATAGGGGAAGAAGTCTTCCATAAGATTCACCAGCCTCAGAGTCAGCCTGTAGACCTGAAAACCTCCAAACCATCAGCTGACAGCAGGCCTCAGACTCCACATAGCTCTGATCCCCTCGTCTCCTCCCCCTGTGTGAGCGTGTCACAGGTGGATGTCAGATCTCCCTCTGTACCTCCAACACTAACAGGACTCAGCTTCATGGGTCCCTCTTTGATTTCCATGTCTCCTTTACTCTCCTCCCAGAATCCTGGGACCTTACGTCAGGACCAGCTCTACGACAGGGTCATGCAGGTGGGTCATTAAGGACACAGGGTCATACAGACACAGGGTTATACAGACACAGGGTCATACAGGTGGGTCATACAGACACAGGGTCAAACAGACACAGGTTATACAGACACATGGTCATACAGACACAGGGTCATACAGACACATGGTCATACAGACACAGGGTCATACAGACACATGGTCATACAGACACAGGGTTATACAGACACAGGGTAATACAGGTGGGTCATACAAGTGGGTCATACAGACACAGGGTCATAAATCTCTATGGTAGAAAATTCTACAAATTGTGGCAGTTCTGGACAAATTCACCTACCATTACATCCCTCGTCATCAGTGATGTAAAGAAACCAATTAGTCCAGCTGTGTGCTAAAGCCTTGTTGATGTGTTCCAGGTGATGAAGAAGTATCAGCTGATTGTTCCGTCCATGGAACAGCTGCAGAAGTGTTACCTCCAGATGTTTGGTGAAAATCTCCCTCTCACTCAGTACATATCTCTGTACGACAGCTGGGAGGCTTCCTGTCCTGAAACCCCGCCCCTCCAGCCAACACCCGATCCACAGACCAAAGGTGTCTGGAACACATCTGCAGGTAGACAAACACGACAACATCCAGTTGTATACATATAAATAAAAGGTTCTCACTTAGCTGAACAATCATGTCTTTTAGTTCCTTCCACAGCAGCAGCAGCTCAGCCTCTCCTGAAGCAGCCTGATAAAGACCCTCAGCCGCTCCCCGTGTCCAGCTCCCTGTCCTCCTCTGACTTCCCGGCGCTCAGCAAAGATGTGACCAAAGAGAAGAAGAGTAAAGTCAGAGAAACGGCCCAGAGAGAGGGCTGTGCCCCCTTCTTTGGAGACGCGTATCATGCTCAGCTGAGGGAGATGCTTGGAGGTAACATGCGGGCGGTGGAGGCTTTGGAAGAGGATGAGGAAGAGGTCAGAGGGTGGAGGAGGAAGAAAGTCCTGGATCAGGATTCAGTCAACAGTCTGATGGAGGAAGTGATCCGAGAAATCGCTGCAGAGGGAGAGCTGGTCACCAGAGAAAAGGTAAGATTTGATTTCTCAGCTGTTTGTCTGTAACATCAGCATGAAGTCGGAGCCTTTGTTTTATTTTAGCTCTAAATAAGATCTTTTTTAAACCTGTCTAAACTGTGACCTCTTAGTTACAGACACAAAACACTCATATTATAGTGAAGTTAAAGAAAACATCACATTATGGGCTAAAATATAGTTCATAGAGCTACATAGATATCGGAGTAGGATTGTGTTGTTGGACATAATCTAAAAGTTCATCTAAGTGTTCATATTTCACACCTCTGTTTAGTCGTCCATATGTTCCAATGTTACGTTGTGATGCTCAGTGTGAGAACGGCTTAACAGTCAGCTACCTTTACTCTGAAAGTCTAGAAGAGCCCGACCGATTAATCGGTCATCTGATGATATCGGCCAATATTAGCTTATCCACTGACTATCGGTATCCTTTAATTTATCTCAGATATGCGCCGATATTATTACATTTATTCACCCAGTTAAACAGTTTTTCTTTAAGTTTCATTGTATTACACTAGCAGTGCTCTTTCACCAGCAGAGGGCGCCTTATGGATTACAACAAACATCATCACTCCAGTGTCGAGCGGTGATGCACGTTTATGCTTAGTTACTCTCCAGCGAGTAACCAAGTGAGGAATCGTTTCCATCTTGTCTAGTTAGTTGATCAAATACCTGGATATCTAAAGGTGTGTAGTGGAAGAAAGGCCCTTTGGAGAGTTCTGTTTCAAGTCAGTGTGATTGAAATGAACAAGTGGATTTCTGCAACCTGACAAACAAGTTGAGTGATTGGTCCTTCAAAAAAACTGACAAACAAAAGGACCTGCTCAGGATAAACAACCAGGAAGTGACCATAACACAGCTCAGTAACAGCTGCAGAGTGTTTTAGGAGTCAGTAAAGAACACAAATATAAAAAAACTTAGTATAGTGTTCAGGCAGGAGTCATGTTCTGCTGTGTTTTTGATAACTGCTGACCTCATCAGCTGATGGCCAGCTGATTTGCTTCAAAGCATCTATTGGCCAATAGCACTCATGCCGCCTTATTTGAGCTGCTCTGGCCTGCCTACTCTTTGCTGCTCCCTCTGTAAGCTGAATCTGCAACCCTCTTCCCCCCAGCTCCTCCTTTCATGTTGTCTGACTTGATCAACGTCATGATGTTAGCATTGACTCCTGCCCTGTTTGGGTTTTTGCTGCTTCCTCCCTGCCTTAGGCTTTCCTTTAATGCACAAGGAAGAGCAGAGAAATCCCAGAACAGAGCCAAATATAAATAACTGTAAATAAAATATTTATTCCTGACAAAGTGGCCCTGCCTGAACTAACAGTTGCAAATCTTTGAATTTGAACACAGCAGTCTGTATTTTGATGTCTGTGAGGTAAATATTAAAGCACTGAAACCATGTCTGTGAAGAAGGACATATGTATCTGATCTGATCTGATCTACCAACACATCATGTAGTCTGTTCACGGGTCCTGTGGGAGCAGTGGGAGCTCTTGTCAGCTTCTGATTGAACGGTATGTTGATCATAATCGATTGATTAACACAGAGATGTATCAGGATAATCCTGTTTGACTGTTGTCCTGAAGATGTCAGACAGACAGTTCATGAGTTAAACCTAAAGAACTTTAACTGAAGTTAGTTCAGCTGTGATAGAGTTTTCAGTAATTGTACTAAGGCGGTGTTCCTTTGTGAGTAAAGATAATCACACTCCTGTAGTATCCTGTCTATTTGCATAAGTTTGGTTGCAAAGGTGTGGTTTCCTCCCAGAGGAGATTTACTCTGAATGCATGAATGAGTCTTAACCAACTAACTGTTCCAGGTGATATCGAGGGTGTGCCAGCTGCTGCAGATTCCCTCTTTAGAAGCAGGAAGAATAATTCCATGGAAGATCCCGGCTCTCAAAGACCTTCAGTACTTAATGAGAGAGCTCAACATGTTCATCGAGGTGGGCCAACATGCCTCTGATAATACCTGTTTGATATGTAACGTATGGGTGATCGGTCTGTGTTGAAGTCTTCGTCTTCTCTCTGTCAGTGTACGGAGGCAGTGACGTCCATCTGCACCCTGTACGAGCTGGGACAGTCTCTGGCCGGCCTGAAGGACAAGAAGCACTACGAGGAGCTGAACCTAGGGCCTCTCTGCAAGCTTCCGATCGTCCACCGCATGTTCAAGATCGACAGCAACACCAAGGACGACGACATCCGCCAGATCCAGACATCCGACATCCTGAAGGTGAGATTGAAGGAGCAATATGTACCGTAAAATCTGGTGTATAAGACGCACTTTTAATACCTATTTTTTCGTCTTAAAAGTTTGCTGCGTCTTATACACCGGTGCAACCAATATACCAGTATAAAATACTGAAACATGCGCCGTCATTACAGCGGGGCAGCAGCCACTATCACTGCAACCTGATGCGATTAAAAACCTATCCCCATTTATTGTGTATTGAAAGCTGACTGCACACTGTGCTGGGAAAGACGGCAACATAGACCAGGCTGGCTGCTCGACTTTTTCCACATCTTTTCTCCCTCACAAGGTCATAATCATGCATTTACAGAAAACAATGGTATATTGTTCCGTAAATAAACATTGTGGAGTGCTTTTTTGATAAAAGAGTCCTATATTAAAGTTAAAGAGTGACCAGCGGAGTCAGGCAGCGTGACTCGCAAGCTAGGAGTCTGTGCCTCGCAACTTCCCCTGCAGGCTGAGAGCTCAACTACCATACTGTAACTAGTAGGAGTGCAAACTCCCAAAAGTGAAAACAGACGGGACTTTAAGAGCGACACAGCTGCACAGAAAATGCACGTTGTAGACATCGCTGAACACAATATAAATCGTCACGCAGGAAAACAGTTTAAACTTTTTTTTCTCTCTAAGAGCCATTCAAAACTTCTTTTATACCGGTGTGACTTATATTCCGGATTTTACGGTAACTCTGACACCTAGTGTTTAAAATGGGTACTGCAGTCCAAAGTCTAAACATTATAGCGAGCTGCCTCCCCCCAGCCCCCTCCTCTCTAGAATCGATGCTCACACAGGTTGCCATGTGGTGGACACTGAAGCTTCAGTGTTTATCCAGCTCTGCATCGGTCTGTAAACCTTTCTGTGTTCTAACCTCTCTCCATTTTTTAAAAGCATCTCCAATATTGATCCTAGTTTGAGCACGTTTCTGCTCGTGGAGCTTATTAGAAACATGCAGAGGCTTTTTAGGTCGGGTACCATCACTTCTATCTGAACCAGTTCTCTTGCCCGCTTCCATCGCTGCAACACCTGTTAGTTTGACCTGATAACTGGTAACTGAGGGGCGTCCAAAACGGCCGCGTGGGGGTGCCTTAAAACCGCCTACCTCCTCTGGTCCAAACAAATCCAGAGCATTCAGGACCAGAATCTAAAGTTAGAAGGAGGACATACTGGCTGCTGCATTGTTGTCAGAGAAGCCAGCACTTCAACATAGCATGTTTCCTTAATGTGTGATCATATAGGAAGGGATCCTCGTGCCTTCATGTGTCGTCTCTGTTTCCATTTTTCAGCAACTTCGTGTTTTTAGACGTCAGGTGAACAAACCCAAAGTGGACCTGGCTGAATTCATGAAGCACCTGGCCGATCATTACAGCTGTGACTCTCCATACGAACTGGGCATCAGGATACACAGCGTGGGGCTGCCTATATCAGTAAGATCTTATCATTCTGTACTGATCCTGTCCTGTATGGCTCTTGTCCTTTGAGGTCAAACATTTCACACACAGTAAGATAAACTCAAGAATAAACATTTGTTTCTCACCCCATCAGCAGGAAGTTGGTCCAAAACCCACCAAAAAATCTGAACCAGTTTGTCCGTACAACTGGCCATTAATTCAAAGACAGCTGAATTTCTTCAGTGAAATTGTTATGAATAGATGTTAAAACTAAGATCATGTATTTTAAAGGCAGTAAGGGTAAAAAAAAAACAATGCACACCGTTCTGCACTGTGTGCAGAGCAGGGCAGATTTAGTGAGAGGACTTCCAGGTGAATATGAGGCTGACGATGAATTTACAGCAGATGTCACGACGACTAAAACAAAGAACATATGACGAGTAATATCTTCACCGGAACATCGGTGTGTAATGAAGAGAGACACACACTTTTTACCACATCCTACCTGTGAGAGGCTTTTCTGCAGTCGCCTCAAACACGGATCAAATCTGGACATTAAAACGAGCTCAGACGTCAGACTGACTCAGACCGACAGACTGAACCAGACCGAGAAGATCTGCAGCTCAAAACGAGACAGACTAGTCTCTGAAGCTATTACAGGACTGAAATGTTTTAATCTTGAAGAAGATTTTCATTTTGTATTTAGTTGTTTGTCTTCAGAGAGTCAGGTTTAAAACACGACTGTTTCATGTTTCAGAATAACTTCTGGTCTCTTCCTCTGTTAGAGCTGCTCGTTAGTTTGTGAGTTTGTCGTTGCAACAAAGTTTCTTACTCTCTCAGTTCTGATCTTTCTGCAGAAGATTTCTAAAAAATAAATTCTAAAAATCTAGAAATGTGTTGGCAAAAATGACAGAGTGACTGACAGAGTGACTAATGTTTGTATATATATGTTGACGTGTGTGCTGGGGAGGGACTGTATTTTCATCTACCAAAGGGGGGCCCTGCAGAGAAAGTTTATGAACCACTGCATCAAACCAACGTTAAAAATATTCTCTGGGATCACAAAGCTTCAATCACTGGGAGTGTCATCAGTCCCGGCACATGTCAGTCTGTTAAATTTACATTAGTATTATTTCATGTTGAAGGTCGAGGTGAAAACCAGGATAATTATTTCCACTGCAGACGGCCTCAGGCGATCACAGTTTAATATATAACAGGCTCTCAGTGTTAAAGTTGAGATGATGATGTCCTTTGACTCCTCCTCCTCCTCCTCCTCAGACCTTGACGAAGGTGAGTCGTGCTGAGCACCTGATCCTGGAGCAGGCCCGGGAGCTGATCCAGAGGGAGCTGGGGGAAGAGGCCGAGGATCGGCTGAGGAAGATGAAGAGGAGCGTGAGCGATGTGTTGCAGGGAGCGGCTTCTTCCTTCTCCTCCACAGGAAACCACGAACTCAGGAAAAGATACGCCTCCATGACGGCGGCCGAGGTGGTGCTGGCTGTCTTCTCTAACGCTGAGGGGGTGTTCAGTCCCAAGATGGCTAAGGTGGGTGATCACATTGAGTACTCGTGTACACATCCAGACGTCCGCACGTCTGTCTGCCCAGCAGGTGATTAGAGAGGGAGAGACGTCACATGTACAGAATCTGACTCCAAATTTTTGGTGTCCATTTTTTCAGAGGTGTCAGAGAATGACGACTGTAATATTTGCTTTTGTTAATTTCCCCTCCAGCACGTGCAGAGCTTCCTGCTGCAGGTGTCAGGTAACCACCTGGCCACGGCTCTGTTTCAGCTCTCCATCTGTGGAGGCTCGCTAGCCGTCCCTCAGGACCTGGTGCCTAAAGACAAAACATCTAAAAACTCGGAGCCCTCGAAACCAGAGGACAACCTCACAGTGTCCCTCCCCAGTGAAGGTACGACTGCAGGACAAGTGAAAGAGTCTGCCCATGATGTCTGTGCGCCACAGGAGTGACGTTTGTTGTGTGTGTTTCTCAGGTAAAGTGAAGCAGATCCTTAAAGACAGCCTGTCCTCTCAGAGCTCAGCCGTCACTCTGGCACACATCGCTGCTCTGGAGAGAAAGCTGACCAAACACTTCCAGGTCAAAGACTTCCTCTCTTTGAAGCAGGGAAACTTCCTGGAGTTCCTGGTTAAACACGTCCAGGTACGAGGGTTTTTATTTTATTTCAAGATCTTTTTACCACCGTGCTGAGATGAGTGAACTTTATTGGTTGTGTAGCTGCTGCAGGACTGTATGGGCTCCACTCTGATTCTGAGCAGCAGCAGCATGGAGCTGTCGGGCAGCGGCTTCAGACCATCGAGACAAGACGTGTTCGAGTTCATCAACCAGTGTGGAGACATCACCTCCACAGATCCAGAGGAGGTGAGGCATTTCAACACACACTCAAATCCAGTTTGATCTTTTCCTTACACAACGATGTTTCTCTCTTAAGTCTGATTCAGACCAAAGAAAGGCAACAGGACGGAGCTCGCTGCAAGCACATGTCAAGCTGAACAGAGTAGATCGACCCGGACAGGAAGTCAGACAAGGAAACGCATCCGGTCAATTTCAAAATAAAACACAACATACAGACTCCTGATTGTATAATCCATCACTTTATCAACATGACGTCAAAACAGAATGAATTGGTGCGCTGGTGGCGCAGTGGTCAGTGCGCGCGCGCGCTCCATGTATGGAGGCTGTGGTCTTCCGGGCGGGCGGCCCGGGTTCGAGTCCGACCTGTGGCTCCTTTCCCGCATGTCATTCCCCACTCTCTCTCCCTAAATTTCCGACTCTATCCACTGTCCTATCTCTCCATTTAAGGCACAAAAAGCCCCAAAAATAAATCTTTAGAAAAATAAAAAATAAAATAAACAGAATGAACAACAAATCATCCTCAGAAACACAAAGCTATATTCTGTTCACTTTATTCCCGCGTGATATTTTGAACTCCCGATACCAGCTGCTCATAGCCGCGCTCACTCTTCTATACTATGTTATATTCTCCTGTTGAACTGAGACTCAACAGATTGACGGGCGTTACTCTGGGATGTTACAGACTGAGTAAAGACTGCCTTTACGTTGCAGATATAAAAGGAAGTGTTGCCTAGAAGTTGTGGAGTCATGTATCAGACGGTGAAAGACGATGATTACAGAAAGGTTCCAAGATTGAAATAGATGTAACACACAGTGACTCAGTGATTTTAAGACCCCCTTCCTGTCTCCAGCTCTTCCACATTGAGTCCGCTCTGAGGGCCCACTTCAGGCTGCGGGACAGTCGGGACCTGGGCTTTGGGACTCTGCAGATGCTGGTCGGTCTGGTGCAACACCAGAGGTCTCTGGCGGGAGGAGGACTGAGCCCCGTCCACTACGAGTCCGCCCTGTTCGCCCGCAAACCGAGGTCAGGACAGTTTTGATTCAGTTTGATTTCATTGAAAGTTCACCGTCAGAAAATCAAACTTAAGTGTAATTGACTTCACTCCAGGAATAAATTGAAAGATGTATGTGCGTAAAGTGAAAGATAAAATACCTCAATGAAAATTGATTCACGATTCTCCGAACACAAGCCTGAGGACATAAAACATTTTAAAGCTCTTGAATAAATAAAATCATTTCATCAGATTTCTTTAACAGATCAAACAGTAAGATAAATATTTCACATCAACCAGAGACATAATTCATATGTTTCATTTTTCCTGCAACTGTAACTGAACATGCACAAATCTCTTTCTCTCCCCCCATCTTGCTCCTTCTCCCCCTCTCTCTCCCTCTCTCTCTCCCCACTCTCTCCCTCCCTCTCTCGCCCTCTCTCTCTCCTTCCCTCTCCCCACTCTCTCTTTCCCTCTCTCCTCCCTCTCCCCACTCTCTCCCACCCTCTCTTGCCCTCTCTCCCCCCCTCTCTCCCTCCCTCTCTCGCCCACTCTATCCCTCCCTCTCTCGCCCTCTTTCTCTCCCTCCCCCTTCCTCCCTCTCTCCATGCACAGTGCTGAATCTGGAATTGTGGCGGTGGGATGTCTGGGTGAGGTGTCCAAGGAGCAGGCGCTGTCCAGCCTGCTGTGCTGCCCCCTGCTGGAGGATTTAAGTGAGTGGAGTCAGTGGGAGCTGGTGTTCAAAGTGCATCACGGCCCCCTAAAAGATTTCATCGAGAGAAACGCAGGTAAGAGTCTAACGCAGTGAGTCTCGGTATCACCTGTAAAAACATGCCGCACCTTTTCTTCTGCAGAGACATGAATCCTGCTCAGAGTTTATTAAACTTTCCTTTTTGGGAAAAGCAAATTACAGTAAATAAAAAGGTTGTTGGGCTGTTGGTCAGTCCTCAATATTTAAACACACATATTTCTGCAACATGTGAACTCTTTTTATTCTCTGACAGGGAACACAGGTTTGTCAGCGCTGGAGGTGACGCCTGGTCAGCTGTTCAGGATCACCTCACACACAGGAGACAAACACTTCTCAGCTGCCGTGACCATGCTTGACCCCGTGGGAACAGCAGGACACCTGGTTTCCATGGTGATCGCTGATGGGGTCGCCAACACTCCCACCGCCCTCCTGGCCAATCACGTGCAGCGCTCACTGGACGCAGCCGTCGCTCGAGAAGGTAGCGACCAGAGTTTTACAAACACAATAAAAAATATGAACGAAAAACTGTTTAGAGGTCCTGATCAGAAGATCAGAGAAGGCAGCTGCTAGAATAGGGACACAGTAATTCAGTTATGTAGGTAGGAGTCAGGACTTAAGGAGGTAAGAGTTGGAGTGATGTGGGAAAGACAAGCAGTGTGTGTTAACGACCTCGCTGCTGCATTTTATACCAACTGTAGACGTAATGTTGAGGACTAAGAAATGACGGTGAAGAGAGAGCTGCATTCATCTGATTGATATGAAACCTTTATAAAACAATAGTGCAAAAACACCAGATGACCTCTGTACCTGGTTACCAGAGGCTTGGTTGACAAGGCCACTCGGGTGTTTGAATACTGTTTAGAATATTTGTGATTTTTCAAGTTTGGTTTCAGCTCTTAGGTTGCAACACAAATAGGAGTCGAGACAAAATAACATGACATTTAGTTACAAAACAAAATGAAATAGTGTGTTAAACAAAAAAGAAAGAGCTGTGCGGCGCTGAGCAGGTGGGGAGGAAACGTCTGTCTGGAGAGGAGGATTTATTGATGAGGACTACACTGGGCCGTGGTGTAGTCCCCATCCCCTAATTAGGACCTCGCTTTGACCGTAATCTCCAACAGAGAAGAAAGAACCAGCAAAACCTGGACACCTGGTGGTGTGGAGGGGTCATCACAGTCTTTGAATGTGCAGCCAGCATAGAGTACAGGATCAGCAGAGTCCTGAGTAAATGATTCAGGTTGAGTTTAGCTGCTATAAGTGAAGATGGTTGTTTCTCCTGGAAGTGTTGAATCCTTTAACATGTAAGTGTGGATGTTTGCTAACATAATGTTTGTGTTTGTCAGGAATGTCTCAGGATGAAGAGGACGTGTCGTGTTACAGCACAGTGGCTAAATTCCTCCTGGAGTGTTTTATAAGAATCCCGTCCAGAATCAGCCAGGCTGTCCTGAACAAGGTTGGTCCCACTGCTCCGCTCATGTTCCTCAGTCACATACAGCACATTCATTTTTATTATATCAGTCTGTTTATTAAGATACAACCAGGAAACATGTTCACACAATGTAAACAAGAAAGTAAAGTGGCGCAGTATTCAGAGTGACCTCAGCACACTTGTATGGATGGATAAAATATGACACCTGCTGCCTCCGATCACATGTGTTGTGAATGTGACCTTCAGGTGTTCCTGGAGCCGTTCTCTGGCGTCCTGGGTCAGACCAAGTCCAAACAAGTCCTGATCACCATGGCCCAGTCTGACCCGAGACACCTGAACTGTCTGCACCGGCTGGGGATCCTGCTGGGCGTCATCGAGTGGAGCAAAGACTTCCAGAAGAAACTGAACGCACGGCAGAACCCCAGAGACGCACAGCCAGCTGCTGAGGAACGCAGCAAGGTCAGAGTTGAATAATAAGTCATTAAAATGTTCAAATAACTGCAGCAGAGTAAAACGATTCACACAGCAGCTGCTCGTCTGTAGACAACATCAGTTTGTGATGTCCGGTATGAGCTGAAGATCCTTTATGAGCAAGGGCACCCACCCTGTCAAAGGAACCTAGAGTAGTGAACATATGTTTATGTAACATAAACACATATTTCTATATTTTCTCACTGAGAGAGCCAGGTATTCATAGCTTTCACATGACGTCACACTCTAATGGTAACGCCCACTTGGAGGGCGAGAAAGACTCTCTACCACAGTACGGTACTGAGAAGTTACTGGTCTCAGTTGCCCCCTACGTGTGTTTATCTATGGGTTAGGGTTTTTTATTTTTCAAATGAAATACCGGTGTTGTTTAATATGATATACTAACCAACGAGGAGACCAACCCGAGTTTTGCTTCTACAGAATTCAATCCGACAAAAAAAACAGAAAGGAGGACGTTTGTGGATTAATGCAGTTAGACCCTCCACGGCCCCTGTGACGGGGAACATCAGACTTCTCATCCTGACATCAATTATTGTGTTGACTAAATCTAAATATTCCTGCCGTTAACTCAAATTACTGTCCCAGAACACTGCAATTGACAGCTGATACTATCCCTAGCTAGCTAACGCTCACTAGCTAATGTCAGCTAATTAGCACTCACTGATGCTTTAATGATGAGGAATTTCTTGCCCTTCACTTCTCAAACAGCAGCATTATCGACCCAGACCGATGAATAATACATAAAGCTGCCTATATGTTTGTAAACTTTCATCCTACAGTGGTGTAAGGAGAGGGATTCTCCTCTAAATATCAGCACTATCACTGAAGTGACGTTCTGGTGTTACGGTGAAAAGAGTGACCATGTTAACTGATGACTTTCAGACAAACGCAACTGAAAGTGTCCTAACAAATGCCTCTTTGTTTTGTTTTTTGTATTATCATAATGTCAAAATTACTTATGAGATATGTTTTAATGAAAGCTAAACAAATAGGCTTTCGTTAGTACTCGTAACGTACGACAACCAGACTCACTCGGCTGAGAGTCACCAGTTAACACGGTAACTCTTTTAAACGTAACACCGGCACGGACTTTGCCGTTTCTATAAATAGTGTGCTGTTAAAGTATCGCAAGTGCCCCAAACTCAAAGTTTATCTTAATATCTTAGTTTTGCTGTGGTTGTCAGGTGATGTAAACATGTGTTGTTTACAGGAGATGTTAAATTAAAAGCCTGTGCTGCAGTTCTACAGGGTTTTCAATGGTGGCCGTTACTTTCCTGAGTGATTTTTGCCCTCCAGCCCGTGCTGGTGACGTCACTGAAAGCTATGAATTATTGATGTGGGCATGCTGCTCAGATCACAGGTGGACAGCAGCTGATTATACCTGACCACGTCATGTGTCTCCAGTGACCGCCGCGTGTGACTCACTGTCCCGCTTCATAAACTCAGAGCTTCACTCGACTTGTACACATGGAATGACGATGACGAACCCTGAATGCACCACCATTGCCACCAATCAAGACTAGCAAGTTCCAGGTCCCCGTCCCAGCTGCAGGTTCTGTTCAATATACCGTATCCTCTCAGTGACCTTCAGAGACGGGCTGTGTGACCACGGACATGTTTGATGCAGTGAGAGCTTTTCAAGACAATCTGAGCATGTGGGAGACTCAGACGCAGGAAGTTAACTTTGTGCAATTTTCAGTGACAAACCAGGTCTCTTTAGCTGTGTTCCCACACTGTGCAGTTACACTGTGCAGTTACACTTGGCACAATGTTAGCTGCTACACTACATGTGTCGTATCTCACTCTCATTGTGGGATGTTATAAAAGAAGGACGTGGTGGCACGCCATCGGTCAACGTAGTGCAGCTGCATGTGTTAAAGTTACTCTTTGTGTCTCCGTCTCTCTTTTCTTGACTTTAGTCTAATCTGATGGATTCTGAGAGCAGCAGTCTGTCGGCTCTGAACACAAGTGAAGACGAGTTTGCGGAGGACAACATGATGGATGGCAGCTTCGTCTCCTCCAGTCTCAACCAGACTCTCCAACCAGGTGACCTCAGCCTCTTGTTGTTATACTTTGTTAATGAACCATGCTCTGGTTTCTTATTGTTTGATTTCTTAATGTTTTCATTCAGTGAACAGCAAGCATGACGATGAGGAGGAAGAGGAGGAGGAGGGAGATGATGAAGAGGAGCTGTATGAGCTGGCCTCTCTGCCTAACGGAGAAGCATCAGCTGTCAGCAGTGAAGCCGAAGGAGTTCAGGACGAGGATGAGGAGAAGTCCAAAATATCTGATTCTGTTGAGCAGGAATCATCCGTCAGCCAATCAGAGAGCGTGTTAGACCTCCACAGAGCAGTCATCGAGGACATCAGGTGTGTTTTGTTACTACAGTGTGTGTATTAGGTTATCATCAATCCTAAAGGAGCAGCTCGTCTAAACGCTCTCCTCCACGTCTCCTTTACAGAAAGAGTAAGTTCGGGATCGGCGTGGAGCTGAACGCTGAAGGTCAGAGGCTGATACAGGGCCATCAGGAGCTTCTGGGCCGCAGCTTGGACCGCCTCTCCACTGAACTCTACAGCAAAGACACACACTTTGTCCTGGAGCTCATTCAGGTGACTCCTTTAAAAACACACAGGAAGATCATTCACGTGTATTTATAGTCAAATGAGTGATGTGACATGAACAGGGCGGGGCTCTCCATGACACTCTGACAGGGATGTCTCTAAATACGAGAGCAGATGAAGGTTTTTATCAGGAACATTCAACACTTCAGATTTTATGCTCCTCAGATTGGTTCCTGGTCTCCTCACATAATGATTGGAGAGATGGATATCCTTTAAACTTAAAGGAACATCATATTTAGATGTTCTGCAGAGTTTCATTCTTCAGTTGTGAAAATGTAGCTGTTAGTTTGCATAACAACCCTGGGAAATGTATTAAAAATAAAAACTAATATCAAGATCAGGGATGGGCAACTTTGGTCACAGCAAGGGCCACATTCATTTAATTCTCATTGCCAAGGGGCCAAATTGTAGGATGTAAAAAAGTTCACAGTTTACAGATTTCGTCATGTTTTCTTTGTGTTTCCGATTAATTGATATGTAAAAATTGACCTGAGGGCCACGTTGAGGGTTGATGGGGGCCACATGTGGCAGATTTTAGGAATATGAATATTTATAGAAATACAGAGAATGCCACCTGAGACTGTTCTATTAATTATTTTGTTTTATATTTTCCCAGAATGCCGATGACAACAGTTACCCGTCAGAGGACGGCTTGGTTCCTTCTCTGGCCTTCGTGGTGGAGAGAGACTGCATCACCATCCTCAACAACGAGAGCGGCTTCCAGGAGACTAACATCCGAGCCATCTGTGACGTGGGCAACAGCACCAAGGGCAAGCACAAGTATGGATACATAGGTGAGTGTGTGCACAAGTACGGATACATACATGTGTGTGTGTGCACAAGTACGGATACATACATGTGTGTGTGTGCACAAGTATGGATACATACATGTGTGTGTGTGTGCACAAGTACGATACATAGGTGAGTGCGTGCAAAAGTACGGATACATAGGTGAGTGTGTGCACAAGTAGAGATACATAGGTGAGTGTGTGCACAAGTGTACTTGTCCATGTGCATGGGAACACACAGGTTAGGGTGTACAACAGGAACAGGTGTGTTTACACAATGATACACAGGTGAGAGTGTGTGTACGACGACACACAAATGAGTGTCAGTCAGTGATGTCAGGGTTTCTTACTGTTAGAAATGTGACCATGTCTTTATCCTGGCTCCTCCTCTCCTCACAGGACAAAAAGGAATTGGCTTCAAGTCCGTGTTTAAAGTCACAGACTGTCCTGAGATTCACTCTAACGGCTTCCATCTGCACTTTGACAAGACCTGCGGCCCCATGGGATACATCCTCCCTCACTGGGGCGAAGACGAGAGGACGCTGGACATTGAACTGAAGGAGCTGAACCTGCACAGGTCAGAAGAGATTTACACTTGTAACTGTCACATTTCCCAACAGCAGAATAAAATCATGCAAGTTCTGCTGGAACGCCGTGTTGTTGGTTGTTTCTGGTGATCAGTAAAATCAGTCACATCAGTCACAGTTGTCTAAGCAGCAACCAGCCAGCTTACATGTAGGGTCCTCAGATTTGTCTTCATGTGTTTGTATCAGCTGGACCACAAAGATCTGCCTCCCTCTGCGCTCTGACAACCATCAGACCAGAAACCTGTTCCATGACGTGCACCCCTCCCTGTTGCTCTTTCTGCATCGTCTGCGCTCCATCACCATCTACAACCAGGTAGGACTCACACCTTTCCTCCCTGTGGGTTATTAAAGCTCAAGCGGAAGATGAAGAAGTATTGCCTGTTTCCTCCTGTAGAGCGAGAAGCGTCTGGTGATGATGACTCGGAAAGACCTGAGTCACAACGTGCTGGAGGTGGAGCACACGGAGGGCATCGAGCGCTGGCTGGTGGTCAAAACTACGGTCCAGCCCAAGAAGGTAACACATACACTCTCACACACACACACATGCCCCCTTATCATATCTTATTAAAGATATGGTAATATATTAAAATCCTTTTCTGTAAGAAGTCAGTCTTTTTTCTTGTTTTCAGCTTCAGCTTCAGATCAAAGAGAACGTTGAATCCACAGAGCTCGCCCTCGCCTTCCAGCTTAACAGCGACATCACAGGAAGTGACATCATATTCCAGCCACAGAAACAACCTGTTTTCGCTTACCTGCCACTGCGCAGCTTCGGCTTCCGCTTCATCATCCAAGGTGAGGATGAAAACACGGATTACTGAGCTGTCAGTCACACACACAAAGTTTGTGTAATAACGAAAAGATGTTTCCTTCAGGTGACTTTGACATCCCGTCTTCACGAGAGGACGTAGACAGAGACAGCTCCTGGAACCAGTGGCTTCGATCTGAGATACCAGAACTCTTCCTGCAGGCCATGGACGTCTTCACTGTAAGATCAATCCACTCCTTTTCATTATATAACTGAAGAATCTGTCAAGGAAAACTGGCTATAGTGTAGTGCTGCAGTTTTTCTATGATCCAATCAGAACTTGGATCTGGTCTCCTCTGTGATGTCCACCTGAAGACCCCCTCCATCTTACGTGTGAGCTATTTTTCCAGGTGACATTAAGAAGGATTCTTGTTTATTCTCCTTGTTTCAGAATCATCCAGAGTTCAGGGGGCTGAGGGGTCTCTGTCAGTTCCTGCAGTTCATCCCCCTCCCTGATGAGGTGTTGGACTTCTTCAAGCCTGTTGCCGGGAAGATTATTCAGCTGCTGAAGGGCAAACCCTTCCTGCCCACACTCAGCTCAGGTATTACACTATGATAGGTTCATCCCAACACCAGAGGTTTAAACTTGGATATGATTCAAGTAAAAATCAGACCAAAAAATCTTGATACCATGGCAACAAACATAGAAGTCCTAGACCTACAATGTTGGGTCATTTATTGATTTTAGTTGTCAAAAGTTGCAGGAAAACTCTAGCACACTGTCTAAATAACACAAATACATTTTCAATATTTCAGTACAGAAATGTTGCCAATGTTGTGTTATTTAGACAGTGTGAAAGTGTTTGCCTCCATTTTTTGATGAGCTCACTCATGGAGATATATGACGTGATATACCTACTACATTATATGATACTCTATAAAAAAATATTTTATACTTCATTATTCTTCACACACACACAAAATGAAAAACAAGCTAATGATGCCATTTATCATGTATTGCAAGCCGTAGGGATACATGACGACACAGAGCAGGCTGGCTCCAAGAATTTTTTAATATCTTTTCCTCCTCATGAGGTCATAATGGAGCATTTAAAGAAAACGGTTTTATATTTTCCAGTAAATAAAGATTGAGAGCTCGGCTAGTGTACTGTAGCTAGCAGGAGAGCAAACGCCACAAAGAGAAAACAGACGGTACCAAAGAGCGACACAGCTGCTGAGAAGCTGCATGTTGTGGACTTTGCTTCATTAGAAATCATCACACAGAAGTTTTAACCTTCTTTCCCTCTGAGAGATCTTCAAAATAAGACTGGTGCCACTTATATTCCAGATTTTACAGTGAAGATAGAACATTTTTTGGCCCCAGTTAAAAAAATCAAGTAGAGGTTTTCTAGCACACAGCACAGGTGTAATCAAAGTGAAATCCTGCTGGTTGAACTGGATGAGTAGCAGGGTATCTCCATCACCTGTCACAGGCTCAGGTGTTGTTATGAATTACCTGTGATGAACCCTCTCTTAGCTGTCAGGCTGTGTTGTAATAAAGCTGTTAAACCCTTTTCTTAGATGATCAGGTGATGCTCTAAACCTGTAAAAATCTCTTCTCCCTCTGTCAGGCGATCAGGTGGTGTACAAGCTGCCGTCTCAGGTGGCCGTCTGTCAGGACGCTGTGATCCGCGACGTCATTGGAGGAGAGGAGCTCGAGCGTCATCTGTCCCTGTCTTACCTCCATCCTGATCTGAGCAAGGCCGCGCCCACCTCCCTGCTCACCCACCTGGGAGTCAGATACCTGCGGGGATCTGATGTTACCACGGTAACCACAGCCATGGCCAAGGAGCAGATGAGGGTGGAAGGCATCCATTCAGGTGAGACACCACTTTTATCCTCAGACTTGCGATGTGATGATTTAAAGATTGAAAAGTGAAATAATAAAATATAAATCTTCTTTTTCATTTTTAAACTGGTCATAGTGAATTATTTTAATATTTAATATTTTATTCTGACAAGATTTCTCTGTAAATATAAATACATAAGTTTGCCATTCCCCTCCTGTCCTGTAGAGGGCGGTCTGCGTCAGTTGGCCCGCCTGCTGGTTTGTAACTTCCGCGCTCTGGAGCACGGCTACGGAGAGGCGGACTCAATCCTGCAGACCCTCAGAGATTTACCTTTAATCCCCTTGGCCGACGGACGTGTGGTGGCCCTGAACGGGGAGGGGGTCTTCTTCCCGATGGAGGAAACCAAGAAGAAGAAGAAATCTCAGGCTGACTCAGGTGAACTCATCTCAGGGTACACTCCCCCTCAGGGCACACCCCGCTCAGGGTACACTCCCCCTCAGGGCACATCCCCCTCCGGGTACACCCCCCCTCAGGGTACAGCCCCCCCCCCCCCCCCTTAGTGGTGCAGTGTGATTGAAGAATCTGCAAAATCAAAGAGATAAAAAACAGGATCAGGGGTCTCAAAGAGTGCGTAAAATCCATACTAAAAATGTACTTGCGCTGAAAACCTGGAAATGGCGTTCGCACAAAATAATTCAGATTTATAAAACCGTTCATTCGCACACCTGCACGCAATGTTTCCTTTATAAATCACGATCCACCTGGAAATGTGCGCACGTAGATTAGCCCCATGGTCCACCCTCTACACGCCCTCTACACGCCCTCTACACGCCCACAATCAACCATAAACGGTCAATGCAAAGCAGCTCGTGATGACAATGCAAACAAACGAGGGGGCGGAGCAAAGGTTTCCAGCGCTGGATCGCGGCGAAACTTGGAAGTTTAGGCGAAGAAACTAAACTTTCTGACCCAGAAAGGGAGGAGCTTGTGAATGAAGTGAAGGATAAAATGGACATATCGGTAGTTTACTGCAGCAGGAGGATCACAAACTGAAGAAAAATCAGAGAATGACACCACGTCGCTGCTTTATTCACGCCGTAATATGTGCCAAAACATCCACCGTTCATCATTACGCACGAGTATATCTGCAATGTTTACATGTTTACTCGACCCACACTGATTTCTTCATATATTGACAGAGAGGACACGTCAGTCAGCAGTCTCCCTCATCATATTCTAAAGATAAGATAATCAAAAGTTTGATCAATGAGCAACAACTTTTAAGTGTTGGCCACATTTTTTCGTGGGAAACTCCGTCTGCTCTGTGACTAATTATGAGGATATATAGACCTAATGATCCTGTCAGAGATGCCCCGACTTAACGTCCACACTTGAATTATTTACAGAATAAATACATGCAGCTGATGAAGACGTGCTGAGTAACGAGAAGGTGAAATGTGTGAAGCCATCGCCATGTCTCTGCGCTCTGACGCAGTCATCTTTATTCAAACTAAAAACCACACTTGATGATAAATGCACGATATTGAAAGATATTAATGAAAACTGGTGGCTCTATGGTTTTTGTGTTAGTCTAATGTTTAACTCTACATCAGTGATTACATTAGTGTACAGTCCAGTCCGTCTGGGATAAGACGTGTATGTGGCGGACTTTAATTTTTAATTTTTTTCGTTTATTGTCATATTGAAAGTTACTTATCGGAAACGGCTCACTACATGCGCGCTAAAGCCTAAATAAAACCGTCGGTTTTAATGATTCTGATGATGTGGATCTGTCAGTAAAGTTTGATATTTAGTGAAATAAAATGTGGAAGAGACATCAATAAACATTATGCACGCTTCAATTCACCACTTTGCCGTCTGTGTCGCCAATTTCCCATGCCTCCAAAATGTACGTACGCTTGGGTCAGAGTTTGCTTACCGGTGCGCACATTTTATCATCACATTTGTTTTTATAGATCACAAACTTTGCGTGGGAAAAGGCGGCTGCCAATTTCAGGGCCCGTTTTGTGCGTACGCAACGGTTCTAAATGAGACCCCTGATCTGTGCATCAATCTTCTTTTCTGGTTTGAAATAAATCATTTCAACAACACGGTCGACTACAGGTCAAGTTGTGTACATGAGAACACGTTAAGACAAGTTACCCTTTGTACATTGCTCACATTTTCAAAGGTTTCCTCGATTTCCCGTTATCACACCGGTTGATCCGCACTTATCGATGATGACACGCATCACAACGATCACTGCAGAAAAATATTAAAACAACAGCATGAGAAGCTACAGCTTTAACATGAGACATACTCACACCACAATCAGTGCATTTACAGGAGATGTGCAGTCAGAGGACTTCTCCCTTTCTCACTCCCACTCGTGCAGTGATTTTATGGATGAATTCAAAATATACTCAGCCCAGATATATGTGTGGGAAACACTGATCTATGAATATATATCTACATAGGTATATATGTTATCATGTATATGTGTATATAGTAATACATTTAGAAGTATACATATATTAAGGCGTGTTTTCAGGGTAGCGAGGGAAGGCGGAGCTTAAAGATGAAGTCGCGTGTGATGGTTTCACAGCGACAGCTCAGAGTTCTGATGAAATATTGAGCAGCGCAGAGCTCAGCGGGGAAACGCTCGCGCTGACTCTGGGCTCAGGGAAAATAAAGTAGGTCAGACGAGGTTTTCAGTCACACATGTTGAAGTTTGACTTTATTTAAACATCAACTATAAGACACAAAGAAACCCAGAGAGATGGGAAAACAGGAACCCTTTACACTCTGCTGTAGAAATCTGAAGTCTGATTGTGATCTTTTTTTTATGGATCATTTCCAAATGCTTCATATCTATGCCATTTCAAAAGTTATCCTTAACACTATAAGAATAACCCAATCATCTGTGTTCTCCCATCTTTGTAACACCATCACCACCATGAGTTACACCTACCATGAGCTAGGTGTAAGATTTAAGGTGTAACTTCTTAAGGTGTAACTTCTTCCTCCGTTGGAACGATGTCAGCTGCTGCAACACCTTAAATGTTAGCAGAACTTACGTTCAAACTAAAGCAGAGCTGGTGACACCCGCTGCAGAACTTGAACATAGATTTTATAACCTACAGTCTAATACTAATAGTACAGCTCATCAGCTCAGTTAAAACTTGTGTTATCTCTCGTCGCTCCTCAGGTCCTCTGTCTGCGCTGTATAAAGACGTCAGTGTGGTTCACCCGTCTCTGCTCAGCTGTGTGGATCCTCTGCAGAGTCAGCAGGTCCAGGAGCTGCTCAGGAGACTCGGAGTCCACGACCTGGAGCCTCAACAGCTGCTGCAGCAACACATCTACCCCACCTTACAGAGCAACAGATGGAAGGTACCATACTGCACAAACTATGGTCACTGTCACAGAGAGGATTTATGCTTCATTCACACAGATTATGAAAAGTATTCCCCCTACGTCTTTCTTTCTTTCTTCCTGTCTCTCATGGCCCTGTTTTATTTCTGCCTCCCCCCCTCCAGTCGAAGCCCCCTGAAGTGGTGGTCAGTTACCTGGTCTTCATCAAGCAGCACTCGTCCTCGAGTCAGGACTACGCAGAAACTGCAATACCCGTCCTCACCAACAGGGGGCTGCAGTGCCCAGCTGACGAGAGGGTGCACTTCTCTGAAGAGTACGGAAACATCAACCTGCCTGAGACACTGCCTGGTAGGAGAGACACACACACACACACACACACACACACACTTACATGCAAACACACACACACACACACACACACACACACACACACACACACACACACACACACAAACATTCAAACAAAATAAATCAAAAAAAAAGTTTGAGCATCACATCTCTTATAAATACCGCGGCGCAGTTACCACCAACCCATTTTTTCACACTAACTCAGGGTTCCCACTCGTCCTGGAAAACAGTTGACTAATTTTCCAGTACTGGAAAACACCTGGAAAATGACAGGAAAAAGTCAAATGTCCTGGAAAATCATGTGTGGTCCTGGAAAATTGTTCCAACACTCTGCTACAGGGTTGGACATTTTCACCTCTGCACGTTAAGTAGCGATTTGTTACATTAATCCACAACGCAGATTGAATCGAAGTCAATAGATAATGTAATGGCTCCGCCTCCCCCTCGTGTCAAAAGCTGATATTTATTTACAATTTAGTTGAGAGGATGGAGCGAAAAGATCCTTCACAAAAAGAGATAAAAACACCATGAGAGTGAATTGTGGCAAAAACTATCAGGTAGACTTGTGTTTTCTCCTCGCTTTGAGGTCAGCACATTAACAGTAGTTAGTTAACATTATTGATGGCGTGCTAGCTTGCACTGAATCTCTCTCTCTAGTCAGTCTTTCTTACTAAGGCTGTGTTCTGCTATGACTTTGTGCCTGACAAAAGTGAGAGTGAAATACAACTATTTCATACGTTTGATAAATGCCAATTGGCAATGTTTATAAACTGCGGATTGGGAAAGATATCCACATCACGTGTTGAAAAAAAGGTTAATTTGCACAATGAATAGGTACCCAACTGTATGAGCCAAACACGGGCCGAATACTGGCTAACCCTTAACTTTGCTAGCATTGTCTCTTCAAATGCAAAACTGCGCTCTTAAGGGTAAAAAATGGACCATAACGTGATATTAAATGTTTAACCTTTGAAGCGGTACCTCACAGTGGATGTGATTAACCTTGGTAAAGACTACACTTAATACTGGTGTGGCACGATCACGGACTGTCATACCAGCTCGATCATCGCTGAAAATGTCCTGGAAAAGTCCTGGAAAATGATCTATGGAAAAAAGTGGGAACCCTGCTAACTGTGCGTGGCTGTTAGCGAGAAAGGGACCTAATAATGGATCATATAATACAAACTGCACCGACGCACAGAGACGCTGTTTGCTCTGCAGCACAGTTTGTTTGCGTGTGTTTGTGAATCAGACGATGTCTTCTAACTCATTTGAGGCAGGTCGGGTTTTCTGGCACAACTTCACCAACTTTCAAGGTGCATGGAGAGTGAAGGGGCTCCAGGAGGGCAAAAAGCTGAAGCAACACTTGTAGTATAAAGAACAACTTTATGAGACTGATGTGTTTCAGCCCTGATGAAGGCCACAAAACAAAACGTGTCGGTCTAATAAAGATGTTCTTTAAACTTCAGGTGTGCAGCTTTTTGACTCATTGGAGCAGGCTGAACGAGCTTGCATGCTGCACAGTCCCTCAGGGAATCAAGCCCTGAGAGTGTTTTTGTTCCCATTTTAACACTTATTTGTACTTACAGTTTCCATGCCTTGAACAGTGTAAGAGCATTAAAGATAGAAAGAGTTCTCACAGCCCTTCAGCTATAATCACATCTGTTAAATAATCTCTGCAGCAGATTTCCTTTGAGATGAAACTAATTACATGAAGGTCCTGAATAATGAACATCAGCTCACTCTCGAGCTTTGATTAACATCTCCTCCTCCTGCTCTCCATCCTACTGGTGCTTCACGCGTGTCATACAGAATATCTTTATGCTCCTAAACCCCTCTCCGTCTTTTCTGTCTCCTCAGGTTGTGATTGGCTGCTGCTGAGTCCCTGCTACGTGCAGACAGACGGAGACGTGGCGGGATGGAGGGAGCTGTTCAGCAGGCTGGGAGTCAGAGACGGACTCATCATCCGCAAACAGACAAGGACGCTCAGCGCTCAAGAGCTGGTGAGGATGATGTTCCTGATCAGTCACCTCACATATTTATCATTCACTCTCTTCAAAATACTAATACAGTCTGACGAAAAGACCAGGGTGAGGTCCTGATGGGTCCAAAAAGATCAGAGCGAGGTCCTTACAGGTACATAAAGACCAGAGCGAGGTCCTGATGGGTACAAAATAGACCAGAGCGAGGTCCTTAAAGGTACATAAAGATCAGAGCGAGGTCCTTACAGGTACATAAAGATCAGAGCGAGGTCCTTACAGGTACATAAAGATCAGAGCAAGGTCCTTAAAGGTACATAAAGATCAGAGCGAGGTCCTGATGGGTCCAAAAAGATCAGAGCGAGGTCCTTAAAGGTACAAAAAGACCAAAGGTAGGTGCTGACGGTGTCCCTGGATTCAGTGATGATGAAAGCTGAAGATGAGTTGTGTAAGGGCACAATATTTTCTGGTTGCATGGCGACAAGAATCAGAAGAGAATCCTCCTGCACTAGAAAACACAATGAGTCATGAGGATGACGACAAGTAGATTAAAGGATGAAAATATTAAACATGATGAGTCACAGCAGAATAGCAGAGAGCTGTATGAGCCGTAGAGACAAGACAGACAGGTGAGGGACGGGAGAGGCACATGTGACACACAGGACAGACAAGTGAGGGACGGGACAGACAGGAGAGAGAGAGGACTGACAGGTGAGGGAGAGGACAAACAGGTGAGGGACAGGACAGACAGGTGACGCACAGGGCACACAGGTGAGGGAGAAGAAAGGAAAGGGACAGGAGAGAGAGAAGACAGACAGGTAAGGGAGAGGACAGACAAGTGAGGGAAAGGACAGACAGGTGAGGGAGAGGACAGAAAAGCGAGGGACAGGACAGACAGGTGAGGAACAGGACAGACAGGTGAGGGAGAAGAAAGGAAAGGGACAGGAGAGAGAGAAGACAGACAGGTAAGGGAGAGGACAGACAAGTGAGGGAAAGGACAGACAGGTGAGGGAGAGGACAGAAAAGCGAGGGACAGGACAGACAGGTGAGAGACGGGAGAGGGACAGGCCATACAGGTAAGGGAAGGAGAAGAGAGACAGGTGAGATATGGAGGGGACATCTTTCTGCTTGACATTTTAAATGATGGTTTTGCTCTGATTTTGGAGTTTAAATTAAGACATATTGTTCACTCTGGTTTACATCAGAGTTCAGTTTGGTGTTGAAACATGAACGTTTCTGTGTGCAGATTTATTCATAAAACACACTTTTAGTCCTCAGCATGTGAGTTTGTGCTCATGACTCATTCTGTCTCTTTTCTTATAAACACTCTGCATCACTTCTGTGTCCTCTTTGATACGTCATATAAAGACATCGTTCTTCGAGACTGTGCAGGTCCAGTGTTTGGTCAGTGTTTCACATTTCTATGTTTTTATTTCTCCTTTATCGTTTCATAAAACCATCAGAGGAAAACAAAGTGTGACCTGTTATCATCACAGCTCTGTCGTCACAGTACACCACTACTCTTTGATACCAGACTCGTCAAATGCAAACACTGATACCTCAACTCTTAGTCGTTTTTAATTTCTTGTTTTCAATCATCATTCATTGCAGGTAAACCACACTCTCTCTCTCTCTCACAATTCAATTTCAATTTTTTTTTCAATTCAAATGGCTTTATTGACATGACGTTTGGGTTAAACATGTTGCCAAAGCAAAATATAGAATACACATTATAATCATTTACATATGAAATTAAATAATGAAGAAAAATACAATTACATAAAAGAGTAATGAAAATTATTTACAAATGAGTAAACATGTCTTATATTGTGACCAGACATTATTATTATTATTATTTTTTTTAAGAATATCAAACATTGAATCCAAATACCTTACAAACAAACCAGTCATGTATTGTGACATGGAGAACCTTGAATATAAATAACCTACATAGAACCCTCGCTCACTCGATGACATGCAGACACATATTCTGCTGATATCTCTACAGTCGAGCTCTCTTCTCCCAGAGTGATTCTCATCTGTTCCTCTTTAGGCACGGAAAGAAAGCCAGGGATTCGATCATTAAATCTAGGCAAGAAGGTGTCTCTAATGTCTTTATATTTGGGGCAGATAGTGAGGAAATGAAGTTCAGTTTCCACCTGTCCTGTTCCACAGTGCACACACACTCTCTGAGATCTCTCTAACCACTGTCTTCTGTCGACCAGTTTCTACAGCCAGTTTGTGATCACTGAGCCTGTATTTAGTCACTGTTTGTCTTTTTAGAGGTTCTTTTATTTCTTTTAAATATTGGGCTAATTTGAATTCCCTGTCCAGTAAACTATAGCATTCTAATTTATGTATTGTTTGGGTTTCTAATTTCCACTGATTCATATATTTCTGTTTATTATCTTTGTCTGTTTTGTGAGTTGGGGATCAGGGCATTACTTTTATATGTGGATCTGTGTGGTGTTTCTATCAGTGATCAGAGAGTGTGTGTGTTCTAAATAAGCTCTATGTTGCTGTGACTCTGACTCAGACTCGATCAGGTGGTTCATGAACTTCATCCTTCTTTTTTTAATGTGGATCAGTAGAGGGAACTGGCCCAGCTCGGCTCTGCAGCCGTGGTTTGGACAGTTTCTGTGGACTCGTAATATGTTTTTACAAAACTCCAGATGGACTCTTTCCACTGGGTTTGAGTCCCAGAGCTGCTCTTTGATTAATGGGCCCCAGACTTCACTTCCATATAACAGAATTGGCTCAATCACACTTTTGAAAATTTTGATCCAAATCCTTATTGGGGGGTTGAGTTTGAACAAGTTTGTTCTTGTGCTGTAATAAGCCCTACGAGCTTTATCAGCCAATGAACTCACAGCCTTAACAAAATGTCCTGATGCAGTGATCACTAGGCCCAGGTACGTGTTTAATAATGTGTCTCCCAATTTAAACAGATATTTTTGGCTTTGTGATCTTGCTTTCTTTTGAAATATCATGACTTTAGTTTTTTCTAGATTCACACTGATGTTCCAGTTTTCACAGTACTGATGGAGGATGTTTAGAAGCTCTTGTAGACCTTGTTCGTTTGGGATAACAGTAACAAATCATCTGCATAGAAAAGACACTTCACGTCTTGTCCCTGTAAGTCGAGTCCTGAGGCTGGACAGTCGTCCAGTAGTTTAGCTAAAAGGTCGATATAAATGTTGAAAAGTGTTGGTGACAGATTACAGCCCTGATGGACCCCACGACATTGTTTTAAAAATTCAGTTCTTTTTTTGTACACTTTCTATAGCACATTGATTTTCAGAGTATTTACATTTAATCAAATAATAAACTTTTCCTCCTACACCGTTTTGGAGCAGCTGATAGAAAAGGCTGTTGTGCCAAATGTAATCAAAAGGCTTCCTGAAATCTACAAAGCAAGCGAAGATTTTCCCTTTCTTCTTCTGTTGTACATGTTTCTTGGTGAGAGTATATGAGAGTGAAGATGTGGTCTGTTGTTCTGTGTTTGGGGAGAAAGCCAATTTGGGATTTACTCAGAACGTCACCTTCAGTCAGGTAGGACAGGATTCTTCAATTTGAAATACTACAGAACAGTTTCCCCAGATTGGAACTGACACAGACTCCTCTATAATTATTGGGATTCAGTTTATCTCCTTTTTTAAGAATAGGAGTAATCAGACCCTTGTTCCAAATATCAGGATATACACCACTTTTTAAAACCTAAATTAAACGATTGAAGCACAGCTGCTTGAAGTTTTCTGCTGCCGTGTTTTAACATCTCCGCCCTGACACCATCCGTACCACATGCCTTTCCATTCTTCAGGTCAGACATTTTGTCCTGTAGCTCTTCCATTGAAATCGGACTGTCCAAAGTATTTTGATTATCTTTTATTACATTTTCTAATGATTTTAATTTGTCAATTGTGGTGACCTGATGTGTGTTCAAACCGAATTTTTCTGGATTTTGATATAAAGAGGAGAAGTAGCTTTTCCAAATGTCGCCGTTCTGAATAGCGATGTTATTTTTATGTTTGCTTGGGTAAAATTTTGTCCAAAGTTTCCAAAAACAGTTTTGGTCTATTGCCTTTACGATTTTCATTAATTCATTGTCTGAGTCTTCTGATTGATTATCTTTTTGTATTGTTGAAGGGCGGCGTGGTATTCATGACGCAGTTCTTTGTTTTCAGGGTCGTTGGATTTCCTGTTTGACAGTTTTCTGAGATGTTTCCTGAAAGAGGAACATTCACTGTCAAACCACGGTTCTTTGGCTGGTTTTTGGTTCCATTTGGTACTTGGTCTCTTCATTTTGGATTCCTGTGCTAATTTAATAAATATTTGATTCAAATCTTTTGTAGCCAAATGAATGCTTTCATTGTGTATGGGGTACTGTCTGCTTGGAAATGTATCTAGTATGTTTTGGATGTTAGCATTGTTAAATGTGTTGGTGTAGTGTGTGAGGCTGTTTTCTGTCCGTTTGTAATGTTTGGGGAGGGCTAACATATGTAAAGGTGGTTGTCTCCCTGATGCACCTCAGGAGGGTGGAAGTATCTCTGCTGCTTCTTTTGAAGGTGAGGGTCTCTCTGGGGCATCTGGGGATGGTGAGTGAACTTGTTGTGCGACTCTGGAGCTTGGATGTATGCTCTCTGTTCCTGACAGGGGTGATGGTTTATCTGTAGCTCCTGTTGAGGTCCTGTGTATCTGTGTTCTTGGGAGGGTGTAGGTACCTGCGGTTCTCTGGAAGAGGGTGGGGGTAGCGTTGCTGTTTTCGAGGTTCTCTTTTCAGAGCTGTGTCTTTTATGTTCTTTGCAAACAGTTTGATCCATCTGTCATTGAGGTGGATGCTATCATGCAGGTGGTGGTAGCTGATGTTGTCATGGTGTGCCACACTCACATTTGGTATTTGAGTGAAGCTCCTATTGCTCTCTGAATTAATGGTGTTAGTGATGTTTTGAGGAATGTCCGATCGTTGCAGTAATGTGGATATTGTTGTTCTTGCGGAGGGGAAGTCCTTGGTGGCTCTTTTTGCCAGCTGCCATAGTGCTGTGGGTATATCACCTTTTCTCCTGGTCAGGTCATTTGATCCGGTGTGAATGATGATATGCTCTACTCCTTCAAACCTTCCACCGGACAGATGTTCCACGGCTTTATCTGTGGTTGGGCTCCAGCGTTTCAGTGATCTTTTCTCAGGAAACAGCCGTGTTAAATTGATGTGTCGCCCGTTGGAGTCACAGATTAACAGGATTTCTTTATGTGTGGCGGTATTCATTTGTGTTTCAGGTTGGCTGACAGAGAAGTGTGTGTCTCTATTTGAAGGCTTTGGGTAGGCCGGTGGGACTAGAGGCAGAGGTGTTGAGGATATTGAGCATCCTGACCGGTTCATTTCAGAGGGAGGAGAGGTGGCATCTATTATCTGACGATCCTCTTCCTCTTCTTGTCTGGTTCTGCTTGGTTGATGATGGTAATTTCCTCTCTCAGTGTCCGCATCATCCGAAGAGCTTGGTTATCCTTCTGTAGCTCTCTCACAGCCTGTTGTAGTTCTTTAATCTGATCTTATTGTTGGAGGATCAGAGTGTGTGTTTCGTTCTTCTGTTGTTTAACAGAAGTTTTCTGATGCAGGTTAGCAAGGGTATTCTCTCTGAACTCCATGAATTCCCTCTCCAGCACAGACAGACCTTCTTTCAGAGTCTTCAAACGGTTGGAGAACCTGGGAGTAGTCTCAGGAGACGGTAGAAATTAGGCTTTTTTGGATGTAGTGAGGCTGTCAGACTTGTGTTGTCTGCCTCTGAGGTTGTTGAGTTTCCCCTCTCTTTCTTTTCCGCCTCCTCCTTCATGTTCTGAAAGTCCTTTTGAAAATGATCCAGGCAATTTTCCGATCCTTGGACCATGACTGTACTGTTGTGGTAAATATTAATGGTCAGCACTGGGCTTGTTGTATCTCCATCTTCATACACAGAGATTTGTCTTCATTTGCTCATTCCATTTTTTTTATGTACCTGAAGGCTTCAGTAAAAGTAGTATGCCATGTATTTGGTTTGTTTGTGAAAAATATTAGATTTGTCTTTACTCTTCCTTTCTCTGTTACTGAAAAGTCTGCCACAACTGTTTCAGGTGAGTCTTTCAGGACTTCTAGTTTGAAAGTCACAGATGTGATGTGATTTGGATACAGTATCTTACATCCTTGTATCATTTTAGTGGATTTAGTGTAGTTTTCTCTGATTTAAAACAGTTATCTGTGGTGATCTTCAGTTATGTAATTCAGGAGGTCATCTTTCTTGCTGCCAACAGCTTTGGTAACCACTCTCTCACTCTCTCACTCTCTCACTCTCTCACTCTCTCTCTCTCTCTCTCTCTCACTCTCTGTCCTGCAGGCCTGCAGTCCCTGGGCAGCAGAAAGTTCTGGATGGTTCCTGGCTCCAGGAAAGGAGCGTGTGATCGATGATTATCCCTGTGAGGAGTTCCAGGCTCTGGCCACGGCTCAGCTCACTGACTCCCTCCTCCTGCAGCAGAGAACGGCCCTGCTGCAGCTGCTGGCCAACAACTGGGACACTGGGTAACACACACAGACTCACACACAAACACAGAGGTTGTTATTTCCAGTAAGAACACACATGAGCCTGCCGTGGGTCTGATGTCTCTAAAGAGGATTACCTCATCAGGATTTATGTACCGATTGAAATGTAGAGCACAGAGTGAGCGTGCTCAGGTGTTTACACAGGTGAACTGTAGTGCAGTAAATACTGTTTAACATCACAGCTGGATGAATCATGAACACCTCCTGAAAAGCATGCCATCAGATGATTGTGCATGTTTGTCTCTCCTCTCAAGCTCTATAGAGTTTATTAGATGGATCCTTCCACAGTGTGCAGCAGGACTGGACTGAACCAGCATCAAGTATTCTGCTGGTCCAGTGAAAGTCATCTGAATGCACACACCATGAGGAAAAACAAATCATGTAGAATAAAAGACTTCCAGCAGGGAAACCCTGACAGCTGCCTCTCTATCACAGCACTAATGACCAAGCGTCCTGCAGTCACATGTAGAGCTGTCATCTATTATACTCCTCACTTTAACTCACAAGTTGACGTCTCTCTGCAGCATAGATACGAGTCTGTCAGCACATTTAACTCTGATGATGGATCACATGCAGCGCTGCAGAGTGCAGTTTACTCTGCATGGGAATTTACGGCGCACAGATCCGTCACGGGTACTATCAGAGATCTCTCCAGCCGAAGACGGTTACTTTCTTTGTGTCTCATCAAAGAACCACCTTGTGTTTTCACACACGTATAAACTTCCTGAAAATGTCCTGAAACTATTTGGCTGAGCTGCATGTGTGAATGCAAACCCAGACTGTACCTGGTCTTTCTCCGAAACCTCCTTGTGAAACTTCACCATAAAGTCGAGGTGAGCTGATGTGAGAAGGCAGCAGGAAATATTCAGAACAATCCACCGTGAACAAGTGTGAACGGCGCCCTCAATAGGGCTTCTGTTGAAGGTGTCCCGCTGTGAGGTGAATGTGTGAACCACTAGCTCGGGTAGATTTCAGGGGCAGCCTGTCCTCATGTTTTCTAGAAGTTTCCATGAGTTCTGAAAAAGGCCTCTTCTGTTTCTGAAGCTTTATTCTCTCTCTCTCTCTCTCTCTCTCTCTCTCTCTCTGTCTCTCTCTCTCTCTGTCTCTCTCTGTCTCTCTCTCTCTCTCTCTGTCTGTCTCTCTCTCTCTCTCTCTCTCTCTCTCTCTCTCTCTCTCTTGCAGACATCGTTACTCTCAGTACCTCACAGCTCATGTCATCGACCAGGATGGACGTGGGATCAAAAACACCCGCTCCTCCTTCCACCACCTCCTGTGTTCTCTCCAGTGGGTTCCGGCCTATCAGCCGCTGGAGGGTGATCGGAGAGAGAGGAAGTACCTGCGTCCAAACTCGGTGTACCTGACCTCAACTGAGATCAGCAACCTGCTGGGGACTCACGTCTGCTACGTGGACCTGGAGCCCAGCGAGTTCAGCAGAGCTCTGGGTAAAAACCTGCAGAGTGTTTTTTTCACAGGTGGAGTTAAAGTCTGCAGGTTATTTACAGTCAGTGTGTCCTCTCCTCTCCCTGCTGCAGGAATGAGACAAAGCATCTCAGTGGACGCTCTGATAAATTACCTGAAGGAGTGGTGTGTCAGACTGCAGGAGGAGGACGAGGAGGAGCAGGGAGCAGCTGATGAAGAGTTTGAGGGGCGGAGCTTCACTTCCACTGTTCAGCACATCCATAACGTGTACACGTACCTGAGCCTGAACTGTCCTCCAAACAGCCTGAAGGATCTGTTCCAGCACACACCTGCTGTCTTCATAGAGTACAACAGGTGAGACACTGCTGGACTGAACACAAAGAACACCATATACTGGATCATTTCCTGTTTTTAATGATGTCATGTTTTCACTACGAATCATTGTCAATAATGCAGTTAACTTGTGCTCAGTGTGAAGAACTTTGTGACACTGTCTATCGTTTTAAAGCTGATGGTATTGAAGAGTATCGATTTATCCAGAATTTTGGAAACTTTATTATAAACCTTAAGTCTGTCGGTGTCTTATGAGTAAAAGAAGTAAAGTAGCTGCAGAGTGGGATGCACGGTGGTGCAGTGGTTAACGCTGTTACCTCACAGCGAGAAGGTTCCTGGTATGTTCTCCCCGTGCATGAGTGGGTCCAGTGACTGGGACTCTAAATTAAGGGAATGGGTCTTGTTGTCTGTCTCTATGTATCAGCCCCGTGATTGACAGGGTGTTCCCCTAAATCTAATTTTATAATATACGTAGCTACAGACTTTGAGACTACAAATGTCAGCCAATCAGATCACAGGGGGCGGGGTTAGACTGAACTATTAGGACAATAAACAAACCTCTAAGTCTGCTCCAGAGTCATGTGATCAGATTAAATCTAGGTTTAAAATATAGTCATCTTGAAGTAAGATTAAGAACACTATGGTCCCAGTAGGGGGGGGGGGGGGGATATATTTAAAGCAGCTGTGAGGATCTTTCAGTTTGTGGTTTTTGGCGCCCCCTGTGGACTTAGTATGTAGTCTTATTTCGAGCTTTGGTAATCTTTGAAGTTTCTGGACCAGGTTGATCGTATTCCAGACTAAAGTAATCTGGATTTTCTGTTCCTGGATAGAAAAAGTTGAATTCAAAAGTCAGTTCAACTTTCAGAACAATCAAGTCCTCATGTCACAAATTTAACTCTCCTCCTCCTCCTCCTCCTCCATCATTACTAGGAGAAACGACTGGTGTTCTGGACGTTTCTACCACCTGAAGGAGGTGTGCTGGAGCGACCCCACCAACATGTTTGTGCGTTACAAACAGCTGACTCACGGTGCCGACTCCCCGGTCCAGCAGCCCAAAGTCCTGGCTCCTTTCTACTACCCGCTGGACGGCATGAAGGCCTTCTTCACCAGAGTACGAGACCTGGTTCCGTTTGCTCTGAACGCCACATGTCCCACATGCACTGTTCATTAAGCCCCTCCCTCCCTTAGTTACTGTTGCTATGCATGGTTCTTCATGAGGTTTGATGTGTGGCTTAGTTCAGGTTTATGGAACTGCTTCTATTATTATGATTTATTTTATTAAGATGTTTGTATTTATTTTGTGTACATGTTTACATGTTAGTAGTGTGTACTTTCTTTTGTGACGGCCAAACTAAGTTACTTCATGACTAAAGTACTGTCTCTGGTCATTTATAGCTGCTGAACGTGGATCTGAGTCCCAACATGAACCAGTACGTGGGTCTGTTAGAGCTGGTCTGTTCATCGTGTCCCAGTCCCACCGCTGAGGTGCTGCAGGACGTCTCCGTGCTTTATGCCAGACTCGGTAAGAATGAAAGATTCACACTCATTTAATTTTCCTGCAACAGACGAGATCAGATCAGTTAGAACTTTATGAATCCAGGAAGAAGTTCTGCTGTGAGGTCGCTCCAACACTTCCAGAACAAAACAAGTAAGAGAGAGAAGAACAGAAAACATCGAGTGTGTCATAAAGTATGAAGTTAAAAACACAAGATCAAACACATCAGAGAGAACATCTGCAGCCAGATGTGTCCGCCTAAAAGTAATTTAACATCCTCTTAAAGGCGTCCAATCAGAGCAGCTCGTTAAGGGCGCACTCACACAAGGCAATCCGTACCGTGCCAAATAGCGCTTCACCCCTAAAGTCCAGTTGGTATGACCACTGTGAGGTCTCCGTTACGTTCTCTGTGCACGCTTTATGACCACGTAAAGTCGTGCATCTGTTGTATCACGTCGTTATGTTCAAGAGGTAACCGTGCTCAGGCCCGGTTAGTCCTGGAGCCGTGTGAGTGCAGGCCAGAGGGGGAATGGGTAGGGGGAGCAATCGTGCTTAATTACGGTAACTGGGCCTAGTGTGAGTGCGCCCTAAATCTCAGCCCTTGTTGTGATTGGTTCAGAGTAAAGGGAGTTCAGTTCTGACGTTTGGAACAGGTGGTAAGAAAATGTCCTGAGACTGAAGATGATAAGTCCTCGTTCTCTTGAGACGGGTGGAGGTCAAACAGTCTGAAGGAAGCAGACCGGAAAGAGACGTGTCGATAAAAATAATGAAAAATCATAACATCTAATGACATCATAACATCTAATGACATCTAAACGTCATCATACCATTTAATGACATCATAACATCTAATGACATCTAATGTGATGTAACATGTTTCTGTCTCCCACAGCTCAGAAGTGTACGGTCGCAGCATCAGGAGAGCACGAGAACGCAGCTCAGCCTACACTCAACCCCTCTTACTGCTCCACCCTGAAAGGTGAGAGCTGCACACACACACACCCAAACACACACACACTCATCCACCCAAATACACACACACACATACACCTACACACACACACACACACACACACACACACACACCCTCACACACATTCATCCTCCTAACACACACACTGTTGTGATGTATGTACACCTGGCCAATTGCATGAGCCTGACGTTGATGACTGACGACACGTGGCTCTGCTGCTTTAGTCAGTAACTCGCATCCCGACAGCAGGAAGGGCGTTTCTCACTGGAGATAAATTCTCCTGATTATATCCTGCTGCGTTCTCACATCAGCTCACTCTGACTTTCTGCAGAATAAATACGAGGAGGCTGCAGGAGAAACTCCGGGTGAAGAGAGAAACATTCAGCTGTTTGTGTTCACACATGACGCTCAGCATGAACACTTCAGGACGTTTTTAGGAGTTTTCTGCGAGTGTGAAAGCACTAATAAACAAACACACCTTAAGTTAACCCTCTGTCCTCTCTGTGCAGGTATGGTGTCTGATAAGAGGGTCTTCCCCACCAAAGAGAACACCTGGGTGAGTCTGGCCCGCAGACCGATGATCTCTGACAACAAGGAGCTGGAGAAAGTGTTTAAAGCTCACAGGCAGGTGTGTCTGCTCAACCTGCCGCCTGCAGAGAAGAAGAACGCTCCGAGGAGGACGGGGAACTCTGGTACGCTGCTGCTGCGTCTCTACATAAACTCATCAATGTTACATTGTCTGACTAACCCAGGGGGGAGGATGCAGGATGACATATATATATATAGATGTAACCCAGCCTCAGTCTTAGTATGTTAACTAATACTTAAAATCCTGAGAGAAGAGAAAATATAATTATGTTGAATATGGAGGCAAGGATGTAGTCAGAGGTGTAAACATGTGTTCAGACAAAGAGCTTATCTTCCATGCACGTAGATTCACGGGAACAGGCAAACATTTCTTCAACTTGAGCGGGAAATTTTCGTCCAGTCAGGAGTTAGATTCTGCTGAAGTCCTGATGTGGATCTGAAGTTTTCAATCCGGACTGTGAAAAAAACATGCATTTAGAAGTCTTCGTGTCTCATCCTGCAGACAAACAAACTCACACTCTCTGCTAACAGGTCATCAAACATGTGGTTAACAGTTTTTCTGACTACATTTGTGGGTTTAACCAACAGAAATGAACACGACTGATCGGCGAGTAACGTGAGGCAGAGGTTGTCTTTTCTTTATGTCTGAACACATCTTTAGGCCTGTGTGAACTGATGAAGGTCTGATGTGAGTTTTGAGACGATGTAGACCAAAGAGTGAGGCTGTAGAGACCATGAAGCTGTAAAGACAGAGAGAGCTGAGGAAGCTGTCACACCGGTTCAAATAGAGATCCCGTCTGTTTTCCATTTTCCCTCTCGGCTCACACAGCAGCAGATCGAGCTAACTGTGAACCGGCCTTCAGCGAGAAGGAGCGCTCTCTGTTCCTGGAGATCTGTGGGATCAGACAGCTGTCTGACTGTGTGAGGTCTGAGCCTCAGACTGAGAGCCTGAGACCCTGCCCCGAAATGCAGGACATGGTGCGCTCTATGGTCCCCTACATCCAAAGGTTCCTGTTCCACCACGACGAGTTGACTGAGGTTTACACTGAGCTGACTGACAACGGCATCACAGAGAGGATCAGGAAGCTGCAGTTCAGAAAGGTCAGAGACTCACTGTGTTTAGAGAGGGTTAACACCTGCTCACCTGGTCCAGGTAACTCTGACATGCTGTTTCCTGATGGCGTGCAGGTGGGGAAGCTGTACATCCGCTACCAGCTGGACATAGCAGAGAGCGAGGAGGTGCCGCCAGAGCTGCAGGACGTCATCTGTCTGCTGAAGGACCAGAAGGAACTCTACATCCAGAAAGACCACCTGTCTGCCAAGCTGGAGGTCTGCAGGTGAGAACTTAAAACTGAACCTCTCTGAACCTCTCTGAAAAATCACCATCACCAACTCTGTGACATAAATCAGAGTGATAAGAATAACAGAAACCATATTTGGGAAACATTTATCTGCCGTGTGATCCTGTCCTGACTGCTGTGTGTGTGTGTGTGTGTGTGTGTGTGTGTGTGTGTGTGTGTGTGTGTGTGTGTGTGTGTGTGTGTGTGTGTGTGTGTGTGTGTGTGTGTGTGTGTGTGTGTGTGTGTGTGTGTGTGTGTGTGTGTGTGTGTGTGGGGGATTCAGGGAGCTGGTGAAACTGTTCTGCACTGAGATCGGACACAGGAAGGAGCTGATGCGTTTCCTGAGTGGTCTGATTACCTCGATCAATGTGAGTGAGATCTGATCCCTTATCCATAGAGAGACACACACACACACACACACACACACACACACACACACACACACACAGCTGAGTGGAGCTCCTATAAGAGGCTGCCTCCCCTGAGGGAGTCACGTTTTACATAATAACGCTCTCTCGTCTCTGTGGAGTCGATCAGCAGTTTCTGTGCAGTCACAGAGTTCAAAGGTTAACGAGGCGTAGGTTTGATCCACTCTGTTCTGACCCCCCATGTTTCTATGTTTCTGTCTGTTCTGCAGAACTGAGCGGTATTATTTTAACAATATTAAAAGACAGCAGACTGTCTCAATGTACTGAAGTCAAACTTTGTGTTTTAATGATGTGATTCTCACTCTGCAGACGCTCTGACGCCTCCCATCTTATTATGTCCACTTATTACTCTAACTTTGATATTAATCCAGGGATAATCAAACAGTCTCTTGCAGCACATTTTTGAGGTCATCAACATATTAATGAGACGAGACGACTCTGAGCGGACAATGATCTGCCATCGTCTGATGGAAGAGAATCTGTTCCACTGACATCATCAGAGAAAGGATCCACAAATCTCTTTAATACACCAGACTCCATTCATAAAAACCGACATTTTACTTCACACACCTCAGAAGATGCTTGCCTCCTTTGCCTTGATCGGTTACTTTGTTGCAGACGTTACAGCCTGTTTACCTGCTGCAGACGTTACAGCCTGTTTACCTGCTGCAGACGTTACAGCCTGTTTACCTGCTGCAGACGTTACAGCCTGTTTACCTGCTGCAGACGTTAGTTTGTTTACCTGCTGCAGACATTACAGCCTGTTTACCTGCTGCAGACGTTACAGTTTGTTTACCTGCTGCAGACGTTACAGTTTGTTTACCTGCTGCAGACATTACCGCCTGTTTACCTGCTGCAGACGTTACAGTTTGTTTACCTGCTGCAGACGTTACAGTTTGTTTACCTGCTGCAGACGTTACAGTTTGTTTACCTGCTGCAGACGTTACAGTTTGTTTACCTGCTGCAGACGTTACAGTTTGTTTACCTGCTGCAGACGTTACAGTTTGTTTACCTGCTGCAGACGTTACAGTTTGTTTACCTGCTGCAGACATTACAGCCTGTTTACCTGCTGCAGACATTACAGTTTGTTTACCTGCTGCAGACGTTACAGTTTGTTTACCTGCTGCAGACGTTACAGTTTGTTTACCTGCTGCAGACGTTACAGTTTGTTTACCTGCTGCAGACGTTACAGCCTGTTTACCTGCTGCAGACGTTACAGTTTGTTTACCTGCTGCAGACGTTACAGTTTGTTTACCTGCTGCAGACGTTACAGCCTGTTTACCTGCTGCAGACGTTACAGCCTGTTTACCTGCTGCAGACATTACCGCCTGTTTACCTGCTGCAGACATTAAAAGACGCCTTGAAAAGGTCTTGAAAATACTGGAAGTTCTCTTTGAGGACTTCTTGTCAGTGTTATATTCTACAGCTGGCTGATATCTTTTAATTCCTGTGCAGGACCTGGACCCCAGATCTCTGCAGAGATACCTGCAGAAGGAGGACATCAGAGAGCTGCCCGCTGAGGAGGAGCTGTGGGAGGTCCCAGAGCCACCCAAACCTGAGGTGAACCTGGACAGAGGTACGTAGGAAGGGGATCAGTAGGGTCTTTATTACTCAAAAGTATCAAACTCAAAAGTCATCGTAAAGTCCAGTAATCTTAGCTACACTTGAAAAACTCCAGTCTGGTGTTTCCTTGAGCAAGCCACCTAACCTAAGTTGCTCCCGCTGCTTCGTTGGTGATGTATGACTGTGTATGACTGGAGGAGTCAATGCTGATGGACTCTTTTACAGCAGCCTCTACCACCAGTGTGTGAATGTGTTGCTGTAGCTTAAATTTAGAGAATCTTTAATATATTTCTGCAGCCACGATAATGTGTCTAAATCTGCAGCTGTGACATCTTACATCTGCAGTCTGACCCGCTTTCCATTATCATTCCATTATATTCACAATGTGCAGTACACACACACATACACACACACACACACACACACACACACAGCTGGTGTGTTTCTCAGATATGCTAATTCAGTTTGTTCACTGTTGTGTGTGCAGACATTAAAGAGCAGCTGTTACCAGGGCTCAAATAGAGAGAGAGCAGATCCTCACTGCAGCAAAGATCACACTCAAACAAGCACACACTCTTAAACACAGACACACACACACACACACACACACACACACACACACACTTCTACAAGGATTAAAATGATTAAAAGAATGTTTTATGACACAAGAGAACGAGAGCAGAATCCATCTTTAATCTGGTCTTTGTTTTACAGCTTCAGTTTGTCTTTTCTTCTTCCGAGGTTTTAACTGTTTGAATTTGTTTTACTTTAGTTCTATCGAGGAGTAAACCCTCCGTCAGCTCCCAGGAGGTGCAGGCTCGTCCTGCACAGGAGGACGGGGAGGAGACTCTGGTGTGCTGGCCTCCTCGAGCTTCCATTCAGTACACAGGAGGCAGCCGCACAGGTATGCTGATGAGGAGGAGGAGAAGGAGGTGTCAGCATCTGAAAATCTTCTTGTGTTTCTTATTTCACATATTTTCTCTGTGCCAACAGCTCCTGCAGACGGAGGAGGTGTGGTGGAGGCCGTCATGAAGATGTGGCCTCCTCCTGCAGCGCCTAACGATAGAGACCCAGAGAGAGACGGCATCCCCCGAGGAGGCAGCAACATCACCTCCCAGAGTCCAGGCAGCTGTGAAGGGATCCAGCCAATCAGGAGCAGCAGACCTGCAGATCAGCCCAGCCCACAGAAAGTCCTGGTCCATCCAGACCCAGGTCCAGGACAACAGAACACTGCACAAAGCCCAGGTGTCTCACTCACTTCCTGTTGAAAGTACTTCATGCAATCAGAATATTTGATTTAAATCGAAACGCATCAACAGGTGTGTGTTTACAGAACTTATCTGATGTTACTCTGCACGGTTAAACAGGAAACGATCAGTCGACTCTGCAGCTCTCCTCTGAGCTTCACAGCTCTTTGGCGTCTTTAAGGGAAAGCTAGCTGCTCACACCGGTCTCCATTAGTCAAAACGTGCAGAAGCAACAGTTGATTTAAAGACGGCGTTGTTTCCTCATACTTCTTGCCTCTCCTCATGGCTCGTCATGTGCGTAGTGTTGTCAGCTTCCCCAACTTAAGGGCATGGTGATTGTATATGAACTTGAGGGGAAGGGGTTTCCTTATACCCAGCGCACGGTCTCACAGGCTCACACAAACAGAGACAATTTGAATTGAACCGTGCATGCCGTACTAAACGTTTCAATATTTTATTGAGAATTGTTGCATCCCCAGTTTGCTGTTACCTTCCTGCTGAACTGAATCTGTTCACTTCATCATCGTTTCAGAGTCAATTTGTTACATAGCAACAGCACAGAGGTCATTCAGGTTGTCAGGGTGATCATTTTAATGATCAAACATCGATCTGTTTGAGTTTCACTGGAATCCTAAAGTTCAAACTCCGGGTGTCACTGATTAACACTAATGAAAGGTTTATATCTGTTCCTGTCTGACAGAGAGCCGTCTGCAGAGAGAGACTGAAGGAGCAGAACGTGACCTCAGACCAGCCCAGACTCCTCCCTCTGCACCTCCTGCTGAGTCAGCAGCCAGCGAGACGCCTGCAGCTAACAGCCTGTAATCTTCTCCTCCTCCTCATTATTTAAACCTTAAACCGTCGACTGTCGGCCGACGAGCTCGACTTCTTATCATACTGTGACTAACACATACTCCCCCTCTCTGTTTTAGGCCCGCCCCCGATGCCGTGCTCCTCCACTCTGTGTTTCAGGGGGCTGCAGCCTCTGCAGAGTCTCAGCGCCCACCCCTGAACCTGGACTTCCCCATGTTGAGCTCTAAGACGGTGCTGGAGGACATGGAGCTCAGCTGCCAGAGACCGAACACGGTGAGAACATCCTCCTCAGCACGCCTCCTCATATCAGGGAGCTGTTCCTAACACCTCTCTCCTCCTGCAGGTGGTGCTATCAGACGATCACACAGACTACACCGCCATTGGGGAGTGGGGGGAGCAGCTGGTGAACTCCTTCCTGTGTCACTGGAGGGACAGTGGCGACCCGGGGAGCCCCACCCACGTCCTGTGGTGCAACCAGAGCGGAGAGAGCGGCCAGCCGTACGACTTCAGGCTGACGTTCGGCCCCGCAGAGGGTCAGCGGGTGGTGTACGTGGAGGTGAAGTCCACCATAAAGAAGGACAGGTCGTTCATTCACCTGTCGGCCAATGAGCTCGACTTCGCCCTGAAGGAGAGAGAGAGATATCACATCTTCAGAGTGTACAGCGCCGGAGACTCGCACAGCGTCCGTCTGTGTCGCATCCAGAATCTCGCTCAGCACCTGCACACCAAGGAGCTCTCCCTCTACCTGTTTGTATGAACACCTGCTCGCCGTGTGTCTGTGTGTGTGTCTGGCTGTGTCTGAGTGTGTGTGTGAACACATTTTGTGTGTTGTTTGAACCTTCTTTCCTGCACTGACTCGAGTTCTTTATTTATTGGAAGTTGTTTTAAAACTTGTCGTCCATTCCTTCTTCTCTTCATGACGAACTGTTGCACATTCCTGTTTTGATTTTTAGCGTTTTATTGCCAACAAACGGCTCGCTGTGTTTTTTATAAAGTCTCCGTGTTTGAAATGATCCAGCAGACAAATGAATGTTTTTAACCTTATTTTTTATTGCTCTTTTTCTCTTCTGACATTCCTGTGGAATAAAACAGTTTTGCGTCAGCTGACTGACTCAGGATCAGTTTGTCTCGTGTGTGTTTCTGCTTTCTCACTGTTTGATTCTTTTCTGCTCCTTCAGGGAGACGTTTTCAAATGTCTTCAAGTTTGTATCTGCTTTAAAATCTGTAGCTTCAGAGTTATCAAACATCCAGCTGTCCTGAAACATAGAGCTTAGGCATAGGTGGCCTAGTGGTTAGGCTTCACCAGCCAATCACAGAGCTGACATATAGAAACAGACAACCAGCCACACTCACATTCACACCTACGGACAATTTAAAGTCACCAGTTAACCTAACGAGCATGTCTTTGGACTGGAGAGAATCCACACATGCATGGGAAGAATTAAGGCAAAGAAAGCCCCCGAAATAAATCTTAAATGAAAAAAATACAGATATATTTATACACCGATCAACCATTGCAGTATGACCACCTGACCGATCTTGTGTGGTCTCGTCAGGCTGCTTTCATCATCGTTTCCATGGTTACAGAGAATCAACAAGGCTGCCCACATGCAGTAAAAATGTCATTCAAAATGTTTGACTTCTCAAACTGCAGCACGGGTGACATTATTTCTCCCACCAGGACTTCTTCACTGCTGTGCCGTTTGTTCATCCGGTGTTTCTTCAACTGGTGCTGTGTGTTAAATTTCCTGAAGGTGGCGCTGTAGCAACTCTAAAGTTTGAAAATAGATCAATTTCATGAAAGTGCACAAACTTGTGATCGCGTGAAAGAAGTGGAGAAGTTTTCAGTGAAAACCAACGTTTGTATAAAACATGGACGTAGTGTCAGTGATGTCACTCTTTGGTTTCTGAAGAAACCTTTTGAAGCCCATCAAGTCCGGTCACCATGTTGGAAACGTTGACTACCTAACTTCTAGACAAAGAGGCGGGGCTTAAACCTCCAGACAAACCGATACAACATGCCCACCTGTCAGTCAAATAGGCCACGCGACTTATTGTGAATAACTCTGATCCTTCATCAAATCAAAACAGATGAGTTTTAGAATACAGTGTGTGTCGATCGAGACATGAGCTAATTAGAACTAGCTCGAACTTGATGACTGTTTTTTTGAACCAGGCTGTAAACATGTTAATCTCTGCTGTAAAAACAGGCTTTTTAGAATGGGTGTGTATGTGACTTCCTGTGCTTCTGCAGCCAGCCTCTAGTGGACACTCGAGTTACTGCAGGCTTTTTCACTTCAGCATCGACTTAATTTTTCAACCCTTGAGTTCTTGGGCCGGTATCATTGTTCTGATGTGAGGTCACGACTGAAAGCTACAACGGTACGACTTCAGAATGTGTCAAAATGTTTCCCTTTACGATGTGCTGCAGGTTTCTGATCTCTGGTCTGGATGAAACACAAAGACAGAATATGTCGGTTGCTGTAGACCAAGGTTATTATCGTTATCGTAAACTAAAGATAAAATTTAAGAAACATTTCTGTTAACCAAAACTAAAAAAATAGGCTTTAAGAAGTAATGCAAATAAAAAGAGATAATGTTCTTAGTTTTTGTCTTTGACTCGAGCGCACTGAAACAGAATCTAACCATACTTTTCTAATTTATACCCTGAGAGAAATAAACTCAAGGCCTCCAGCAGGTTTCACGAGGTGCATGTTTAATAACCATCTTTGATAACAGGACACATATTCTCTCTGTGTAGTGACAGTTCAGACAGATCAGAAATAGCCTCTGGAGACGACACCTCCTGTTGTGATGCAACATCCTAGTAACCACATGTGATTCCTGCAAACACTTGACAAAGACAGAGACCACCACAGTAAGTATAGAGGAACATTCAGCATTAATGCTGCACACAGCAGGTTGTTGTTGTTTGGAAAAGTGGAATCTTACAGTCCCCTTCATTGTTATTAAAAAGTCTAACGTCCTAACAGGATGGAGTCTCTGTTCGCTCCTGGCTCTGTGGTTCACTTTACTTTCACAGATTCAGAAACACTCATCATGAGACAGAGGATGACCAACATGTGATTTTGATTTCCATACAAACAACATTTTTATATTAGAAGTGGGACTCCTCTCAGCACTGCAGACTGAAGATGCCTCATCTAATAGAACAATGAGGCATTCAGGTGCAGCGTGTAAACTCCAACATCAGAGCTCTTTACTCAGATGAGAGCAATAAGATACAACTTTGGATCAAAACAACTGACCAGAGTATGAAGAGGGCAATTTGGGTCATTTTTAAAGGTCCAGTCAGTGAGATGTGTAGTGAGTGAAATGATAAAGTGACCTTACTATATGTTCAGACATTAAGGAAACATGCTATGTTGAAGTGCTGGCTTCTCTGACAACAATGCAGCAGCCAGTATGTCCTCCTTCTAACTTTAGATTCTGGTCCTGAATGCTCTGGATTTGTTTGGACCAGAGAAGGTAGGCGGTTTTAAGGCACCCCCACACGGCCGTTTTGGACGCCCCTCGGTTTGCCAGATATGATTCCAGTTATCAGGTCAAACCAACAGGTGTTGCAAGAGAACTGGTTCAGATAGAAGTGATTGTACCCGACCTAAAAAGCCTCTGCATGTTTCTAATAAGCTCCACGAGCAGAAACGTCAACTAGGATCAATATTGAAGATGCTTTTGAAAAATGGAGAGAGGTTAGAACACAGAAAGGTTTACAGACCGATGCAGAGCTGGATAAACACTGAAGCTTCAGTGTCCACCACATGGCAACCTGAGTGAGCATGGACTCCAGAGAGGAGGGGGCGGGGGGGAGACAGCTCTCTCTAATGTTTTAAATTTAGACTGCAGTACACATTTTAAACACTAGGTGTCAGAGTTACATAGTGCCCCTAATCTGACTCTGCGTCTCGTTTGCAGATCTTTGAAGAGACAATTTTTGGTGTCAGATGGATTAATTGATTTCTTTGTATCAAACCTGAGACATAACTCAGGTTAGATGCCTTTCTGCAGCCGCTAAAGCTGCTAAACATGAGACAACGATGACACCGCTAATGATACAAGCTAATGTTACATCTCGGTCTGTTCTGAATAATATCTGCAGGGATGAACACTCTGCTCCTCGCTCGCTCACTTTCTCTCTCTTCTTATCTTCATCCGTCTCCGTCCTCTTCATCTTAGCTTCAGTGTAAACTAGCGCCGTAAACACATACACACTTCTCACCAGATGACCTCGGCCCGCTGACAAAGTTACATAGTGCTGAAAACAGGCAAGCGGGACACTCTGTGGACATGAGAGAGACGCCATTCTCCCTGTTGGAGGTTATTGTTCATTTAGACTGATTGAAGGAGGAGGAGTTACAGACTGTTGCTTTATTGGTGACTGAAGATGCAAATATAAGCTTGTGAAAAAAAGACGTCAAATGAAATATACCGAAAACTGAACAGTCGACTCCTCAGAGTGACTTGAAGTTTAATCGAAAGCTGTTCAAGACATTTTCCCCTTTTCTATGGTGACGTATTATCATTCACAGATAGCCCCCCCCCCCCCAACTCCTCCCCCTTTTTTCTGGATTCTTTGACTGTAATTGGACCATCATTTACTAAATGAACATCATGCTGTGTCGAAGAAGATGTGAAACTAGAGTTTAAAACCATAAAGTCATCAGTTAAATGTTTATTGAGGGAATCAATCAAGTGATATGAGATCTTATCATAGACTTCAATACAGTCAGACTCATTTTTACTACCAGTGGAGCTGACCCTGCTGGACATAACATTAAAATATTCACACTTTTAAAAACAAGCAGACCTACAGCACAATCTCTTATTCAGCATGAGACGCTGTTCATGGCGTTTCGCACTGTCCCTGAATGCATCATATTCTGTACGGAGACAGGAGCAGCGGCGGCTCCCGGCGGAGCTGCGCTGCAATTGGCCAGAGCAGAGATGAGGGGGAGGGTTTTTCTCCCCCCTCCTCTTCCTTGGCTCACTACTGGTGCTCCTCTCCTCTGCTGACTCCCCTCCTCCTCCTCCTCCTCCTTCCCTCCTCCCCTCCTCCCGCTTCCCTCCTCCCCTCCTCATCCCCTCTCCTCTCATCCTAGAGGACGGAGCGTTGCGGAGACAATAGGACGCAGAGCCGGAGGAGGCTGCAGGATGCTCGGCTCCACATCCCTCGTCTCTCGGCTGCTCGGAGGCTGCTCTCGGCTCTCAGACACCCGGCGCTCCTCGCGACTCTCCTGGCTTTAGTATGCGCTCAGACCCCGCGGTGTGTTCAGCTGCAGCCCGGGCTCACAGGGCGGAATCCACGGCCCCCCTGTGGGAACCCACTGACGGGTGAGTACCGAAAAAAAAAAAACCCGACTCCTTGTATCCTCACCTGCACCCTAACTCACCCGCATCACACTCACCCAATCACAGAGTTGGAGCAACCTTATGTGTCACAATGTCACAATGTAGGCCTATGCATTACACAGAGATCAATGTGGTTCGTTTTACAAAAGGCCTGTTCTGTGTGTGTGTGTGTGTGTGTGTGTGTGTGTGTGTGTGTGTGTGTGTGTGTGGCATCCTATTAATCAAACAGCACATATGCAGCTTGTTAACATTTTAGATTGTTTACAATATTATAGACAATTAAAATTAGTTATTGATCAAACCTCCACCATGCATCTGCATCTGCATCTGCATCTGTGTGTGTGTGTGTGTGTGTGTGTGTGTGTGTGTGTGTGTGTGTGTGTGTGTGTGTGTTGGACACTGATCCTCCTGAGTGTGGGTGCAGTCTGAGGACACACTGCAGGTGGATGTAACGTGACGTAGCTCTACAGGACGTCAGGTGGTGGATAATAAGAGCAGAGTGTTTACATCCTCCTGCACGTGACGCGTTCAGGGCCCATCAGGCCTCAGTGTGAGGTGTTTGATAGTTTGATCTGATAGACGCTTGTTCTTCATCAGACGGTGTCTACGAGACGAATGGGGTCCGTTGTTACCTGGTTTCAGAAATGAAGACGATGTGCACGACTTAGTCTGAAATATCTGAACATTAGAAACGATAAAGTCCACATTGTGTGTCAGGACTTCTGTTTTGGGTGCCATGGTATCAGACAGGTAAAGATTGCATTATATTGATGTTGTTAACTCTGTTCTGTGATAAATAAAGCGCTTTGAGTGGTTAAATGTACAAGCTCAAGTCCTTTTATCATAATTCTGTTTGTTTCAATAATAAATATATAAATGTCATGTTGGAGCGACGCTGATTTACTCTTTTTTTCAAAGGAATCTTCTCTTCCTGTTTGTATTCAGAGCCTCACACACACACACACACACACACACACGCACGCACACACACACACACACACACACACACGCACGCACACACACACACACCACACACACACACACTCTCTCTCACATCATGATGAGTCATAATGTAGGTCACTGAGATGCGCTGGTGTGTCTCGCTGGCAGCGGCGATAACTTGGGCTCGACTTGTTCTCGTCCTATCAGAGTTCAGATTCATGAATAAAATATAAACTGACATGAATAACGTTTGATGACGGTGTCTCAGTTCATCGTCTTCACACGGTGAAGCTCACATCACGCTCAGGGTCAGGCTGTGGCGCTTCAGGAGTCTGTTGGGGCCCGAGACAAAAATCCATTAGGGGGCCCGCTAACCGGCGTTCATCACCATCATGTCCGCCATCGTCCCGACGCATACTCCTCTTCTTCTTTTTCCTCTCCTGTAGACAGATCATCTCCCTTCATTTGACTTTGTTGACTTTCATCAACAAATTTTGGTTTTCACAGCAACAATGCATGAAACGTTTCGTAGGGTAACAGAGTGAGTGCTGTCAGGTGGGGCCCCCTTAGGGAGGTCTCCTACTGTCATTGCAAAATTAGCACATTTTGGTCCAGTGCTTTGGTTAAAAGTTTGTGAGCCAGTCAGTCCGGTACCCTTCGCAGCAGATACGCAGGACTCGCAGGACTCGCAGGACTCGCATCAATTTAGCACAGAAAAGAACAAGCGGGAAGTCAGACACCGAAACAACAATAAAACATCCCGTTAATTTTCAGAATAAAATACTCTGTTTTAACGATTCAGAATAATGACCGTCTGTGTTTGTTTGTGTGTTTATAAAGTTTCATACCATGTACATCATATTATCTCTTGCTGTCACGAGTGAATCTGTAAAATACACACTCAATGCACACGTATCTGGTGGAAGTTCTGGGTTAGGGTTGTCAGAATGTTTAGGATGTCACATGTTTTAAAAAAGATACAATCATTGTTATTTTAACGTAAACCACAGAAAGGTTGAATAACTACCGTAACATATGTAATAGAGGGGCACCGGTGTTTCAGTCTCCGTCAGTGCTCGAGGTCACTCAGAGGTGAAAAGGGTTTAAAGTGTCTTCCTGTGATGATTTGTGTTCATCAGCAGTCAGTTAGTGAGCAGCTGTGCAGCTCGTTCAGTACCATCTGTGTCCACCAGGGGGACTTTGTAACCCTGCTAGCTACCCATAACCTGCGTTCTGCGAGTCACCTCGCCCACGTCCTCTGATCACGTGTCGTTAACTGAGAACTCTTTTCAATCAAAGCAGAAACTCCACGAGCTTTATGTACCGAATAGTAAACCGCTGTTTGATTTAAAGGCACCATGGCGACCTCGTCCTGACGGAGGAAAGATAAGAAGAAGTGGTCTCAGTTTTTATTGATAAAAAATGTGCGTGCACTGTGGTGGTGGCGGCTGAACCGTCAGTCGGGACTCATGACAGCACGTCTCTACGTATTATACTGGTTTGTTGGTCAGCAGGCGACCTTTAAGATAAAAAAAAACTATTAAAAGTGTGTCTTATACCACACACGTTACGGTAACCCTGTTTCATAAGTCGTCTACGTAAAGAGAGGAAAGAATTAGGATTCAATTCTTTAAAATGTGGAACGATTCTGTAAATTAACTTTATGAACGACAGCTCAGCCGACTCAGGGTTTACTAGCTTGTTCAAATTGGCGCCTCATCGTTTGTGGGATGTTTTGAGGTCATGAAGGACGCTGACCGTTTGCTGAGCTGACAAGGACGCATTATAGGAACCTTTAAAATAGATCAGCCTCGAACACGTCAGGACGTATACGATCGTCAAATGCGCCCTTGGAAGGATGCAGACCCTGAAATGGGACGTATGAAGTTAGAACTGGAAGGGGATTAGCTTAGCTTAGCACGAAGCATGAGGCACCAGCTATCTTGACTATAAAGCCTCCATTCGTGCATCCATGTTTTCATGGACAAAATGAGTGGACTGAACCTTTAAACGTGGACCAATGAGACGGACTGAATGTGGCTTAAGGCCGTTAAAAGTTCCTGACTCGAGCCGCTTGGAGCTCCAAGGTTTGAGGTTCAGTTCTCACTTTTATTGTGAGCGGTAAACGTGTTACACACGTAGGATTTATGTCAGTAGGTGCTGCTGCAGGAACGAGCAACACACTCGTTACCTTTCCAAACACACACACACACACAACACACACACACACACACACAACACACACACACACACACACACACACACACACTCCGTTTCTGGCACTCTGCTTCTGAACAGTCGTTGTCATTGTGTTGCTCTCTCTCTGTTTTCTCTCTCATTATTTTTCTCTCTGATGATCACAAACACTTTGATTCTGTGTGTGTGTGTGTGTGTTTCTGTGTGTGTGTGTGTGTTTCTGTGTGTGTGTGTTGTGTGTGTGTGTGTGTGTGTGTGTGTGTGTGTACTTCTGATCATGCCGTGTTCTGTTAGAAAATCAAACGCTGTGTGGGCAAACATTTGAATGTGCAGGAGACAGGAGTGTGTGTTTTGGGCGTTTTTGACTATGATTTAAACACACACTCCTGAGGATGAAGGAGGATGACGATGGCGGGTCTCCAATGGTTAGAGGTCACGATGGCTGCAGCAGAGGGGGTGGGGGTTACGGGGTATGAGGGGGGGGTAGATGTGGCTGTGATCGGCTCCTTGGCTCGCTGAATGCCGCTGGTGGTTGCATAAGCGGTCTGGGATTTATTTGGCTGCAGCCTCCGGTCGTGGCTCTGATTCCACAGAGGGATGGAGCTGGTGGCTCAGAGAGTCAGTGGAGGGAGGGAGGAGGAAGGGGTGGGGCTGGATTTGTGGTCAGTTGAGAGGAACATGACGTATTTGGTGTGTGTTTTCAAAACGCTGCACCTGACAGCCTGTGTGAGGTGTAGCTGTGTGTGCAGGACGTCAACATTTCAATACTCACGTTTGGAAAACGATACAATCCGTGATATTAATCATTAATAGATTCAAAAAGTACATCGACATCGTGCCATGTAATGATGTCAGTAGCAGATGTTTAGTTGTTGTTCCAAATCAATGTAATGCCAACGTCACCTAAGGACTGATTCAGAGTTCTTTATCGGGCAGATGACGTCACCAACTCAGACAGATTTTCATTGTCAAACATGATGACTCGTGACCAGAGGTGCTGACAGGAAGTGACCAGATGTGCTGAAAGGAAGTGACCAAAGGCAGAAATGACCATATTCAAAGCACAGGTGCTGACAGGAAGTGACCAGGGGTGCTGACAGGAAGTGACCAGGGGTACTGACAGGAAAGGACCAGTGGCAGAGCACAACAGCTGTTCTTGAGAGTTCTAATCAACATCAAAACCATCCTAAATATCATCATCATCGTCATCATGAAGGTTGTAGGTGTTCATAAAGAGCTGGGTCTTTAGCTTTTTCTTAAAGGTGCAAAGGGACACTGCAGATGAATGGAGTTTGGTAGTTTGTTCCACCACCGGGGGGCGACAGAGGAGAAGAGTGTAGTTAGAGACTGGGACAGACGCCTTTCATTGGCAGAGCGTAGTGGAAGGTGAAAGTGTTTGATTTGAATTAGAATGAAATCCAAGTTTAACATTGTGATGCAGTGACGGCCGTCGTCTGAGGAGAATGGAAGTCTTAAATAAATCCTTGTGGAGACATTTACAGACTTCAGACATCTCTAACACCCTGGGCCGTATTCATCTCTGTTTTTATCAGTACGTGTCTTCACAGATGTTGGGGAAGAATTGCTCGAGCTGTAAAGAGCTGCAGGATGACGTCTTTTTGAAGTTAGCATCGCGCTAACTCCCTCGACAAAACACAGACGGTTTATTTTGTGGGTTTTTGGATTATTGCCGACAATAAACTCTGTGGTGAAACAAAGTACATGACCTGTTTTGTTCATCAATAATATAATTCATAATCTTCACTAATGAACTCGACTTTAATCTTTTCTGTAATCGCAGTCAGAGGAAGTAAAAAGCTAACGTTAGGCTATAAAGAACAACACCGCGGTCTGCTGACTTCAATGTCACCACCACGAAGCTTCCAACCAGCGGATGAGTTTCCACGTACACCTTAATGACGTCTAATGTGACAATCTCTGCTGTCCTAGTTAGCTCGTTGTTAGCAACCGACTTCTGTAGGACGTGGAAAAAGCTTCTAAAATCCCGCAGACTTCGAGACAATGGAACCAGAAGTGCTTAAATGCTGATTCCTCTCCTCATCTCTGCAGCAGAGTGAGGACGTCCAGCTAAGACTTCCTGTTACATGAAATGGTAAATCTGACGACTCGAAAGTCTTTTACACGGCAGGTCACACCTACACATTCACACACTGATGGTAGAGGCCGCTGTGTGAAGAATCCATCAGTATTAACTCATCCATTCATACAAATTCATACGCTGCTGATAAAGCAGAGGGAGCAACTTGGGGTTAAGTGTCTTGCCCAAGGACACATCGGACATGTGTCTGCAGGAGCTGGAATCGAACCCCCGACCTTCCAGTTGAGAGACGACTCTACCACTGAGCCACAGCTGACCTCCCACTTTGTGTCTTTGCTAACAGTTAGATTAGCAGCAGAATACGGGATGTTAGCATCACGTTCATGCAGATATCTAGATATCTGTTTGCTGAGTTACAATCTTCACTTCTTTTGTTCTCCACATGAACCGTTTTCTTCTGTACAGGCGAGGCGCTGAAATACTTCATGATGATTACACTACAAACAGAAACCAGATAACCTCCCACCTGATGTGTATCTATACACAGAATCCAGATTATTCTTTGTTTATCGTAAAATAAGTGAAATGATCGGTAACCTGAGCTGAGCACGCAGCCTTTAACCCGTTAGTCACTGATGATGAGCGATCATTTTTAAAGTTTGTAGATGTTCAACACAGACACGTGTGTAAAAGTTTTGGAAGGATGCATTACCACTAGGTCAGTTTCCCAGTATCATGCCAAAGCTCGACTATCCCCCTCCCCCGTCCCCAGCTGGCCTCCACGCCAAACCGGGTCTTAGCACGGTGTATCGGACACGGTACTAATTGCCTCGTGTGAGTGCGCCCTACGTCATCGTGGTTTCTTAAGAACTCTGATCTATTGACTTTGTACAAACATGAAGTTCTTTTCGTTGTTTTTTACGATAACACCGTCTGCTGGCGTTGTAGTTCCAGCAGACGTTGAAGACAGAGAGCGTCCTAACGACTGATGCTTAGTTGAGTTTTTTTAATTGTGATGTCAGAAACAGGGATTATATAAATCTGTAACTATGACAACCACAGACCCATTCGGCTGATTCTCCAGTTAACACGGTCACTCTTTACACCGTCACACCGGTTAACCGTAACGTTCCTGTGAATTTCACACACACACACACACACACACACACACACACACACACACACACACACACGCTCACTCACCTGTAGTCTAGATAACCTGCACGTCTAAGTATTGTATTATTTTAGGACAGTGTGCTCGTCAAATCAGATTTCAGCCCTGCTGGGATTCTATCCAATCAGTGGCTCTGCAGTTGTTTCTACTGAGGCTGTGAGCTGTTTGTGAAATACAGCTGGCTGTGTTACGTCTATTATTATCAGCGAGCGAGAGAGAGAGAGAGAGAATGTGTGTGACGCAGCAGACACACATTTACCCTGATCTGTGACTCATGCTGAGTCTAAAGCTGTTTCTATATAAACACTGATGCAGCTCTGTGCATGGTTCACACACACACACACACACACACACACACACACACAGGTATTCAGAGACATGATGCTTCACCATGTTTGTATAGCTTTTGCTTAGGGGGAGCTTGACTAATATGTTGAATTTCATGAATTCAGAAATGCTTTTTAGGTTCCCTTTTTGCAAAGAAAAGCAGACATACGTAAGGGGGTTTAACCGGGGTGCTGGGGCTATAGCGCCCCCCTAGCCCCTGTGTAGCACCGTGCTTGTGTCTAACTCTAATATGTGTCTCTAGTCTGTCTACAAACCCCCCAATTATGAGAAAAGTCCATCCTCTCCATCTTTTGCCTGCTCCACTTTTCAGAAAATGTGTGCTCAAACAGGCTGCGTGGAGATTTTCCCTTCATGACATCACAAAGGGCAGTAACCCCTCCCCCAGGTGGGTGAGAGGTTGTTATTAACACAAAAGGGGCACAGTGAGAAGCCAGTTAACCCCCGACATTGTCTCTACTGTTGTTAAGATCAGTGGAGCAAACAACCCCGTCAACTTGTCCTGAAGGCCCTGACACACCAAGGAGAGCGCTACTAGGACTGTCGGTGAGCGATTGTCACCCTAGTTTTTTGTGTCTGGCTCCGTCGCTACCTCTGTCGTTGAATCGGCGTCGGTCAGCGTAGGCGTGGTCGGTGAGAGGGATCTCTCTGATTGGCTGTTGGGAGGTTTCATTTTTCTCCTGCTCTCATCACAGGTTCAGGAAAGCCCCTTGAGCATACCGCTGTAGTATCCATTCTTTCACCCATTAGTGCAGTTTCTTCTTATGTGTCTCCTCCGCCTCTTCTTTTCTTTTTCCACTAAAAGACCAAGGGCTGACAACGCCAGCGCCATTTTCAACTTTTTATCAGACATTATTCTCCATTAGTAGGCTACCTATAACACGAGTGGTGACCGACAGCGGGGTGAAAATGGTCTTCTCGTATCATAACAACAGACTACCGCCGCCTACTGGCATGGAGAGTTATTTCCTCTCACACATCAGTAGAACGTACGTGGTGGTTGGCTGTCGGCTGTAGTCTCTGCTGTGTGTTCTAGTGCAACTTTATGTCCAAGACGTGAGGCGACATTCACTTACTCTGACTCTTGACTCTGTTTACACCTCTCTGCGTTCGTCTATGTGTGTGTGTTTGTGTGTATATGTGTGTGTTTGTGTGTGTATATGTGTTTGTGTGTGTGTATATGTGTGTGTGTGTGTGTGTGTGTGTGTGTGTGTGTGTGTGTGTGTGTGTGTGTGTGTGTGTGTGTGTGTGTGTGTGTGTGTGTGTGTGTGTGTGTGTGTGTGTGTGTGTGTGTGTGTGTGTGTGTGTGTGTGTGTGTGTGTGTGTGTGTGTGTATGTGTATGTGTATGTGTGTGTTACATGTTCCTGAGGGCTTTTATTTAAGCCAGAGAGGGAAACAGTACATCCTCTATGCACTGCCATTTTTCACCTAAGCTGACTCACCCCTCCTCACCTTCTGGTGTCATCCTCCTGTCTGCTTCACACATACACAGACACACACACACACACACACACACACACACACACACACACACACACACACACACACACACACACACACACACACACACACACACACACACACACACACACACACACACACACACACACACACACACACACATATAAAACACTCCCACAGAAAGCAGATAGTTCCTGTGGTGAGGATGACAAGGTACTCAAAGTCGTATGTTGTTGTGTTTCTTTGACTGATATCTGGTGGCTTTACACACTCGCTTCAGGTTCTTTGATTCTCGTCTTATGTTCATGTTGAAACAGCAGAGAGAGAGAGATTCTCGTCATTCACACAGATTTATGTTGTGTGTTTATTTGTGTTGTTGATGAAGAAGAGACTGTCAATATGGCCGCTGTCCAAATGCAAGTGAGCAGATTCATGAGTGTGTGCTTGGGGACGGAGAGGCTGCTTTCCAGCTCCTCGGGTTATGTAATGAGTGTGTGTGTGTGTGTGTGTGTGTGTGTGTGTGTGTGTGTGTGTGTGTGTGTGCTTTCAGTGCTTATATTTCTTCCACGTGTTCCTGGATCTATAGCACGGGTCAGGACTTGGCAGGTCTCGTTGCTCAGGAAGAAAAAATCACTAAGAATAATCACACTGCAGCAGGAAAAGGATCTGCTCAAAAGGACTGTTATCGGCTGTTTTGTGTGTGTGTGTGTGTGTGTGTGTGTGTGTGTGTGTGTGTGTGTGTGTGTGACTCAGTTTACAGCCCTCCCTGGCATCCCCCCTCGGCAAGTAGCATTTAGAATTACTTGCGCCTTCACTGCAGATAATTAGCATTTTCAGAAACGATCTCGCTGCAGATCAGAGGAGACTGTGAGCTGCACCATCGACGACGCAAAGACCACACACACACACACACACACACACACACACACACACACACACACACACACACACACACACACACACACACTCCTGTGTACATGTCTGATCTGTGTGTCAGCATGTTCTCAGATGACGGGATGATGGACGCTCTGAACATATTCGTTCATATTCATATTCGCTCTCTTTTTATGTATTTGTTCTCGTGTCGTCACAGTATGAGGATTTTAAACTTCGATATGATTCTAGTAAAAATCAAACGATATCGAGAGCTGTTTGATACCACGGCAACAACAACAGAAGTCCTACACACTCAGTATTTGGTCATTTGTCAAAAGTAACAGAAGAACTGGAGCACGCTGTTTGAAAAGAACAAATACATCTCCACCACGTTCTCCACAGAGAGCACAGCGTGGACGGTCACTCAGCATGCAAGGAAATACAGCTCAACAGTGGATTTGATTATTCACGATGATGTCATAACCATCACAGGTAGAATGACCAAGAGTTGGTTTATGCTCCTGTAGGAGACACAGGTTTGTCTCTCTGTTTCAGCGCACTCTCATTGGCTGGAGGAAACACACCAGCTCCGCCCAGAAACGTGCCGAGTCAGCCAGAACAAAGCAGAACAGTAAAATCCAGTCAGAGGACAGAGTCTCTGCAGACACAGTCACCAGCACACATGTACGGAGGCCCAGAAGGGACGATGGAGCAGCTTTACTTTAGGATCAGTCTGTATTTTATTTTGCTGGAACAAGCTGCTGACTCTATCTTTAGATGAAATCTCAAATGATTTGTTACAACAGCCCCCCCTACAGGTGAAACAGTGACAGACAAAAGAATAATAAAAGTGTGCACATTGTAAAAACCTGTTTTCTTCTGCACAGTCTCACCAGGTGTTAGCCGCTGCTGCTCTCGCCCTTCCTCAGCGTCCGCTCCCCAGTTTCTTCCTGCGGTCCTTCCCTGAATCCGTCCCCACAATGAGTTCCTCTCCGCTGGTGTCTCGAGCCAATATGGACATCCTGGACGAGCTGCAGCTGATCGCAGCCCAGAACCTGGAGAGGCTGGAGGTCAACAAGTACTACGAGGTGATCCGCGAGCTGGGCAAGGGCACCTACGGCAAGGTGGACCTGGTCATCCACAAGATCCGAGGTGAGGGGACGCACAGGGAAAACCTCAGATATAGAAACTAAACAATAAAAGAGGTTAACTCATTTGACTTTGGACCCTACAGGTACAAAAATGGCGCTGAAGTTCCTGAAGAAGAAGACGACCAAGCTGAAGTCGTTCCTGCGGGAGTACAGCATCTCGCTCTACCTGTCGCCCTGCCCGTTCATCATCAACATGTTCGGCATCGCCTTCGAGACCGACGAGTACTACGTGTTCGCTCAGGAGTACGCCCTGGCAGGAGACCTCTTCGATATCATTCCTCCCCAGGTGATCCCGCTGACCTCGCACTCTGCTTCGTCTTCTTTTGGATGTTAACGTCAGAGAAAAGAACAAAAACAGTCTCTTTACGTTCCTGAAAACTGAAAGTTAGACCAATCAGAGAGTAGTGTTCAGAGTCAGACCTCCTCTGCAGGTGTTTGACGTTTTTCTTTTTAAATGGCATTTAAAGGGAGTAAAAGTATTTCACCTCATCGACAGAGAGCTTCGTTTAAGCTTTCACCTCGGTGGTATGATCACAGAAAGATTCACATTTTCATCTGGAGGGATTTTCTACGAGCTTTTTGTGACCCGTACGGTTAACCTCTGGTTTCCCCTCCATTCCTTCAGGTGGGTCTACCTGAGGCGGTAGCAAAGCGCTGCGTGCACCAGGTGGCCATCGCCCTGGATTACCTGCACTGTAAGAAGCTGGTCCACAGAGACATCAAACCTGAGAACATCCTCATCTTCGACCGAGAGTGCCGCAAAGTCAAGCTGTCCGACTTCGGCATGACTCGCCGCGCCGGCTCACCGGTCAAACGGGTGAGTGACCCCTCTGTCCAGTTTCTCTGATTCTCACCTGTTTCCTCCACCTGGGCCTGATGAGGAAAACCTGTCATCCGGATTAGAATGAAATAAAACTATTTAGATGTAAAAAATACTCAGGTGATGTTTTATGAATTTGTTCTTCTTTTGTTTAAGTTATTTTTGGGCCTTTATTACTTTAGTGGATAGGAGAGCTGTAGAGAGGCAGGAAATCTTTTATTGAAACGTCTGCGTCATGATGTCTCTGTAATTCAAATGTCGTTTTCTTCGACCCACTTCCTGGAGTCCTGCCCTCTGCTGGTCAAAGTCGTTACCTGATCCCTTTGCTGTTGTTAAACTGTCGGTTTCCCTCTCCAGGTGAGCGGCACCATCCCCTACACGGCCCCCGAGCTCTGTGACGTTTCTCGCCACGAAGGTTTCTGCGTGGACTACAGCACGGACGTGTGGGCGTTTGGCGTGCTGCTCTTCTGCATGCTGACGGGAAACTTCCCCTGGGAGAAAGCTCTGCCGTCAGACTCCTTCTACCAGGAGTTCATCCGCTGGCAGAGGAGGCGGACCAACACGGTGCCATCGCAGTGGAGGCGCTTCACCGAGCAGGCGCTCCGCATGTTCCGCCGGCTGCTCTCCGTGGAGCAGGACCGCCGCTGCTCCGTAAAAGAAGTGTTCGGATACTTCAGCCACTCCTGGATGCTGGACGCCGAGAACAACAACAATAACCACGGCAACAGCAACAACCACGGCAACAGCAACACCAACAGCAACAGCAACAGTGGTGGCGTTGGGGAGAGGGTCGGCGGCGGCGGAGGAGGTGGAGGTGGAGGCGTACGGGGAGAGGTGGATGGTACGATCACGTCATCGTCGTCCGGCGAGGAAGACGAGGAGCTCCTTGTGGAGAGGATGAAGCAGCAGACTTTGTCCCCGCTCTCCCCCATGTCTCCTGTGGGGGTGGAGCGAGGAAGTGGAGTCGGGGCTAAAGGCGGGCTGATGGAGCCAGGCGGCGGCCATCATTTTGTGTCCGTCTCCACCAACAGCTCCGTGTCGTCCACCAACAGCTACGACCGAATGCCGAGAGAGAACGGATCGCCGGGCGGCCGCATGCTTGTGGCCACGCCCATCGAAATCTGTGTGTGAACGTTCATGACGTTCATGACGTCACAGACTCACCTGGACACACTTTTATACCTCTCTCTCTTCAACCGCAAAGATGTGCATGCACGAATAGAAACAGACGATGAGTTCAGAAAGGAAGAGCGCCGCGGAAGACGTTCCTGGAACAAACCAGGCGCCAGTCTAAAAAAAAAAAAAAAAACTTCCACACTTTGATTGCAATGTTTGAGAACAGACGAAATGTTTCCCATTACAGATTCTGTCACTAAATCCCTCCTGAACCAAGACCAAAATGTTTTTCTTAAAGCAATACTTCCAGCAAAAAAAGCAAGCGGAGACACGGAGGTGTTAGCATGTTAGCCGTGTGACCTCGTCAGGAAGGACGCTTTCTGAACGGCACCGACGGACACAGGATTTGTATTTTTGTCTCAAAGAAAACTCGAACAGTTCGAGGACCCTGTAAGATAAAAACACCCGAGCGGAGCTTTTCAGTGTTTCATGTGTAACAACGTGTGAGCGTGTTTGACATTCTGTTCGTAGGACACCACGCCCTACGGATTCTTTTCATTTTGAATTTTTTTATTTATTTGAATCTAAAAAGACTCAAATATTTTTTTTCTGTTTTTTTATGTGAAGCAGTTTTTTTTCTTCGTTTTCTTTCTTTATCGTCTTGATTCCTGTCGTCTGATTGGCTGCTCATGTGGCTCCACATACTCCGTGCACGCCGTGGTCTGTCAGTGCCACACCGCCGTCTGCTGCCACTCTAGTCAACGCTCCTGTTTCCACAGCGAGCGCCGCGGGCCCCGCTCACGCTAACCCTAACAGACTGAGTGGGACATGGCGCGTGCCGTCAAAACCGTGGCTGACAGGCCGCGGCGTGCAGAGTATGTGGAAATCAGGAGCTCAGATGTCTTTGTTCTTCGTCTCGACTTCTCGACTCAGAGACTTTTTGTAAACACGTTACGTTTGGTTCTGATTGATCCGAATTTCTTTGAACCTTTACGCCAAAAGTTCTGTTTGTATTTAATTTTAAAAAGAGAAAAAATAATCTTCACATTTTCAACTGAATCTCAAACAAACTAAAAAAAAAATCACCTTTTTAACCTGCATGACGAGTAGCTCAAAATGTACGAAAATATCGAAGCGGCTTCACGATAGAAAAAAAAAAACGTGAAAAAGGGACAAAAAGAAACGTAAAATGTTGTGATGTGGAGTTTTTATGCCGTAGCACAATTTCTTGCATTTTGTCCCCGAGTGAATATCGCCATGGTGAGACATCATGGAACTCGAAATCTGAACCGTTAACCGTTTTCACACGGCCGCTGTTCTCCTCTGACGTCACGGCGAGCGGCTCCACTCGACATCAAAGTGTGAACGAACAGGAATGGGTTAAATATAACGTCTTTTTAAAGACAATCCACTTGTAACCACACGGAGAATAATTATCTGGAGGGACGAGAGGGCAAACATCGTTTTAAAGAACAGATTTCAATGTGCAGAGATTTATGAGCGTTTTGCATTCACACGAGAAAATCTGCTGAATTAACAAAACAGAAAGCATGAAGTCTGAGTGACATCACCCGTCTCTTCCTGCAGGGGGGCGCTGGAGTCCCATCGATGGCGGTCTCCATGCTGGAAATGCTGTCTGAGCCTAACTTTCAGTCAACCTAAAGACAGGCTGAGAGCTGGAGCTGAGGTCCTCCTGTATAGAGGCTGTAGACCTCGAGGCAAACAACTGGGGTTGAATCCGACCTGTGGCTCTTTTCCCCGTTCTCACTCTCCCTGATTTCCATATTTTCTCGTGTGAATGCAAAACGCCTCCGTAGTGATGATCACATCTACAAAGATAAAGTGAAATCGTCTTGGTTTAAACGTTTTTTAAAACACGTCAGGACAACGTGACTGTGAGTGTCACATCAGAGGAGGACGGCTGCTCGCTGAGCGCGGGGAATAACTTCTTTCTATTCAGTGTATTGTGTTTGTATTGCTGTTAACGTCGTGTACATTTGACCACATTCAGGAGCAGAAAAAAAAGCAAAGCATGAGGACACAAACGAGCGTGAGGATTCCTGACGTCAGACGAGAGCTCCGCTTCTAAACTGCCACTTTTAGTGAAATATCGTGGCCTCGATGTTTTTACTCTAAAGCTGAAAGTGATCTGTTCCTTTCTCTCATCCTGAAGAATTTGAAGAAAAAAAGCAGCTTTGGATCACGCACAGGAATGAGCGTTTAGTGACATAAATCTGCATGAACTCGTGTCGTGTAAACCCGTTTCTTCCGTCACAAGCCGTAGCTCGCTGTAGACGCCGTGTAGCTGCACACAACATGTCTCTTTATCCCATAGTCACACACACACACATACACACTCACACACACACACGCCTGACAGAGGGTCACATCAACACAGCCAACGCTTACATAAACGGCGTGGAGCGCGCTCCTGGATCAACATGATAATGAATACATCTTGTGACAATCTCTGAGCTCATCAGGAGCTCCTGACTCAGAACAAAGGACTCACACACACTGTCCCACAGCTGTGTGTGTGTGTTTGTGTGTGTGTGCAAGTGTGTGTGTGTGTGTGTGTGAGTGTGAGTGTGTGTGTGTGTGTGTGTGTGTGTGTGTGTGTGTGTGTGTGTGTGTGTGTGTGTGTGTGTGTGTGTGTGTGAGGGGGGCGGTCACATGATGCATTAAGAGGAGAACACGCGGCCTGTTCATCACCTCATCGTTCAAACAACAATCCTTCTGCACATCCTCACAGTCGCCGAGGAGGGAGACTGATGTCCCCCCCCCCCCTCCCCCCCTCAACGAAATGTAATAAACAAGAACCAGCAAATTAATAATGAAGTGTCATCTGATAGTTTGACCCAGGAGTCCAGACAGTAAAGCTTGGTGTTGCAGGCTGTGCAGCACGCTTCAGATTGGATGCTAAACTTCAGAATTTGGAATCTTAAGGCATCTGAACGATAAAATATCTGTTATTTTATTCGTTGTTAGTCATGAAAAAAAATACCTAAACTTCATATAACTAACATCTGGTCTAGAAGCCATCTGTCACAGCTCAGGTTTTGATCTTGCAGCAGGAATTTAACAAACGCATCTGAATCGAACTCCAGATCACAAAAACTCTGCAACGTGAAAATGAAAATATAACGTCTGTAAAAAGATATTTTATTAAAATAGAAAAGAAGACACGTCACTCCACACTGACTGAGCCGCTCCGATAGACGGCTTCCACATATTGCACACCTGAACACATCTAGATCATTTCAGGGGGACTGCTGCGGGTATTCTCCTGACCTGTTCACACATGCTAACAGCAGGAGACTATCCCTGTCAGACAGTAGGAGGGGGGGGGGGCGTGGTCTCCTGAGGTAAGGCCTGACGTAAAGTACGCACAGTAGTTGCAGACGAGGAAACAGAGTCCTCTATATGACGCTATAATGAGAATATTTGTCTTTGCATCAGTGCTACGTGTAGTTGAACAGAATCTCAATCTGAACTAAAGAGTGGAGAAGAACATACTGGAGAACAGGAAACATAATGCAGCAGGTTCATTAGAGCACGGAGATGGTAGAGGTGGCGTGCAGACAGTCTGTGGTCGTGCAGCGATCACAGGGAATAAACGTCACCACCCCCTCCCACTCGCTCCAGGTGAATTCTCCTGATTATATCCTGCTGCGTTCTCTCATCAGCTCACTCTGACTTTCTGCAGAATAAATACGAGGAGGCTGCAGGAGAAACTCCGGCTGAAGAGAGAAACATTCAGCTGTTTGTGTTCACACATAATATCAGGACGTTTTCAGTAGGTGGGAAAGCAGCCTTACAAGAGGTGATTGGTCTCATTATGGATTTGTTTTGTGGGTTTCAGTGTGATGAAAGCTACTTCTTACTACTACTACTCCCGCCCCCCCCCAGCTCTGACGTGCCGTGTTGTTGTGGTGCAGCTCCGATGTCTCTCTGTCCGCTCACGTCTCACAGCCTCATCATGACTTTGGCGCAGTTTTAGTGAGTAGATGATCACAGCACTAGAACTCGTATCCGGTTCTGTCTTTGCAATACGACTGTCTTCCTGTAAACTGAGATGAAGTCAATAAAATAAAAACATTCTTGTTGGGACGCGTTCTTTGTCTGTTTCTTTTCTCCTGCAGGAGTGAGAGCTTGTCTGATTTTAGGGGTTCAAAACTATACTGAGAGTCAGGAGGAAGCAGTGTTCACATGTTTTCATCGATCTGGAAGAAGTGGGGGGAGGGGGGGGGGGGGGACTTCTCTCATCCAGAGTCTCCTGTAGACCCTCACGTAGACCATGACCACAGAGGTCCAGAGTCGTATCAGTTCGTTAGCAGAGGCAGCGAGTTCTGAGACAGCTGATGACGAGGACAGTGAGGTTCAGGAGAGGATGGAGGACGTCCCTGGATGGTAGGCGAGGCTTGTTTAATTTTAGACAAATAACCACGGTTTTTGAAATTTACGTTCTCCATATTTCCCAGCAATGCACTTCGAGGAGGTGGCTACGTTCATTTCATGCAGGTGATGCAGAGATGTGAGCAGGTTTGGGGTCATCCCGTCTTGAGTTGTCACCCGCATCATGCGAGAGTTCCCTGAACCTGCTGAAGCTTCTACAGGTTTCCAGCTCCCTCCCCTTGAATAAACATTGCTGGAGATCCATCATGCGCACAGCTGTGTCCATTCCACATGTTTTTTGTTAGGACAGGATGTTTCCCTACCACGTCAAAGAGTTTAATGCAACACAGTTTTGATTGGAAACTATAGCTGACATATTAGTTTTATACTTTTCAGGACTCTAAATCATAGATGTGCAGTCACAATTTAAAGGTCTGATGCAAGAAAAACTGCACGCAAACTCTTAACGATGTTTAACTTGCAAAAAAAACATTCATTGGCAATTAAGTCTATTGCATGTTCGACAGTGTGCACAAATCTTTAGATTGGTTATTGGATAGGACAGCTGTAGAGAGACAGGATATGTCCATGTCCATGCTCCCCTCCCCCCTCTGGACACACCCCTGGTCTCTGTAAATTTGGCCTTTTCTTTTTACCAGAAATATTACATTTAAGCCCCTCTCTGGAAGGGCTGGGTGTCTCTGTCTTTCTCGCTTCATGTCCTATTGTTTACGGTGAGAATGCAAACTCAGAGGGCAGAACACACACCACAGAGCTGTGGGAGTGTCACCCCACCTGGGGGAGGGGTTACTGCCCTTTGTGATGTCATGAAGGGAAAATCTCCTAACAGTCTGTTTGAGCACACATTTTCTGAAGTGGAGCAGACAAAAGACCGAGAGGATGGACTTTTCTCATCATTGGAGGGTTTGTACACATACTAGAAACACATGTTCGAGTTAGAGGAACATGGTGACGTGGATTTAATTTAATGTGTGACCTTTAAATAGATTGTTGATTTTATCTCCTAAAGACACAAATCTCAAACAGCAAACCACAATGTTGAACAAAATATTTATTTTGGGAAGTTACATCCTGACCTCTGCAGCTCAGAGAGGCGACCCAACAAAAAGCTTCCATGAAATAAAAAGAGCGTGAAAAAGAGGAAGCGGCGTTGGCAGCTCGAGTCCGAGTTCAACTTAAAGATCACTGGCGGCGAGGAGGAGCTGGAATGTGACGATCCGAGAGAAACCGCCTGAGACGAAAATATTGTCCGGTCGAAAACATAAGGAAATAAAAATCACTTTAAATCATTCGAAGATCTGAGATTCAGCCCTGAGATACACGCAGACACAAAATGACTCAAACTTTGAACAAAGACAAAATAAAAAAAAAACAGATTTCAATAAATCATTGCAGATTAATTCTCAGGCACTCACACAGCTGCTCGTGAAATCACTGCAACCACAAATAAAACAATAAAACATTTAAAATCATTAAACGATGGCACGACTTCAATGCATCTGAGAGTGTGTGTAGTACACATGTAACAGCTCATGCCCTAATCTCTGACAGCACCACACTGCCCCCACTGGCTGTGTGCAGAAGTGCACTCAGATGTTACAGCAACACTGATCATACTGAACAAACAGGAAGGCGGAGCGGGTCATTGACCAGCTCACCGGCGGCGATGAAGGTAATACTGCAGCTGGAGCGGAGTAGCACAAAGTTCTTTTGGAGGGGGGGGGGGAAAGTACATTCAAACACATGACTCAGTCCATTTCATCAGACAGGTGTGCAGGAGAATAAACCCACCCAAATATCAGGAGTCTAGGACTTTGAAATTTATCCTCTTAACAGATGTTACATGTATGTTGTCATACAACCCAAGAGTCTCCTCAATCACTAAATCATGTCCTTCACACTCTGTGAAACAAAGTCTGAAATGTTAAACAGAAGTTCTTCACGCCGCCTCTTTAACCAGACGTCAGAGGTCTTTCACCTTGAGCTGGGCCGTCAGTCAGTGCACCTTCAGGTGTTTCTGCTCTAAAGGTGTTATGTCTAATCTGTTGTCCTGTTGTTGTTGGTACCCCGTCCTGTCAGTGTGCTCTCTGAGCCGTCCAGTCTTTAAATTAAATAAACTGATTCTTCACCAATAACTTAAACACACACTCACACCTCTTTGACATCCGCTGAACAAACTGCAGGAATAAATAAAAACAAATACAGTTTATAGAAAATTAAATATCTTTGATTGTTATTCATATTTAATCCTGACATAAAAAAAAAATATATAAATAAAGAGATAACACAAACAAAGCATGTCACTGTGTGTGTGAGTGTTTCAGTTTTCAGGAGACTGGTGCAGTTAAGGTTCACGGTGTTAGCTGTCTGTCAGAAGATTCCAGGTCCACATGAGGCGAGGAGAGGAGACCCTGCAGGATGGAGAAGAGACCCTGCAGGATGGAGAAGAGACCCTGCAGGATGGAGAAGAGACCCTGCAGGATGGAGAGGAGACCCTGCAGGATGGAGACCCTGCAGGATGGAGAGGAGACCCTGCAGGACGGCGAGGAGATCGTCTGGATGAAGAAACAGAAAAACAACTGATCTTTAGTCGACGAGTTGCAGACTGATTCAAACCCAGTTGGCTCCTACAGTTACGTCACTTAAAGTCCTTAAAGATTTTTAAAAAATCACGTTCCTGGTTTGAATATTATATTTTACTAAAACATCATCCGAGTATTTTTACATCATAATATCTGTAAACATTTCAAACATCTGGTGACTCATCCTGCACTAAGGGGCGGTAACTCATTTCTCCAACAATTAAAACGCTTTGTCCAAGCTCACGATACAAACATATCCTCCCAACGTTATGTCTCGCCCTCTATCCTGTGATTGGTTCTGTCCCGTTTTAGTTGGAAATACAGCAAAACTGAGTTAACAAACATTTTATAGCGACGACCACCTGCCTCAGCTGGAGTTAATAGTCAGAGTATCTGTGTGTGTGTGAGTGTGTCAGTGAGGTGTGGTCAGGATCATTGAGGTTTGTTATCTCGAGGTAGCAGATTGTTGCTCTCTCTGTGCTACAGCAGATTATTACAGAGCGTCATGTCACCTCATGAAGAGCTCAGCTGAAGTGAACATGTTGAGGATTTTAATGTTTTTTGTGACTTTATAGGAAATCTGCAGATTCTCTTTAGTGTTGATGTGTCGAGGTGGAGAAATATTCTCTGTAGCTTTCACAGATGCACTGATGCAAATGTTTAGAGATCTTCAGGAGGACCGTCTGTCAGTCTGCGGTGGTGCAGACAGTCTGTCAGTCTGTAGTGGTGCAGACAGTCTGTCAGTCTGCGGTGGTGCAGACAGTCTGTCAGTCTGCGGTGGTGCAGACAGTCTGTCAGTCTGCGGTGGTGCAGACAGTCTGTGGTGGTACGGTCAGTCTGTGAGTGTAGTTTCAACATTCCCTCCATGTTACATTAATATCCTCCCTGTTTATATCTTCATTATCAATGACTTGTATCATTACAAGTTTATCTTCATAAACTTGTTTAAGATTCAGTGTCTACAGAATATGAGTTCTGCAAACGTTCTATGAAAAGATTTAACTTTATAGTTTTCTCTTCATCACTGTGCAGTATAAATTAAACGCTACGTGTACTGACTGCTTTCTGTTTGAAGATTAGCGACGGGTACATTGACTGACCTCATGAGGCTTCTGTTAGTGCTGTCACCTGTCGTCACAGCGGGTCCCTGGAGGAGCTTTGAATGTCTTGTTCTGAAGAGGGACGAGGATCACAGATGGTCATTCAGTCAGGATACCTACATTTTCTGAACATTGTGTTCATGTTGCCTATTCAGGGACGTGTTTAAAGTCCAGGTGTGTGTGCTCACCTTGTGCTTTTTACACTTCATGGAGAAGTTTTCTTCAATGAGGATGCAGTCTGCAGAAAAAGAAGAGAACAAGAGGTGAAGACTGTGATTCATCCAGAAGGTTCCACCTCCCACACGAGCAGCTCGGCGGAAGAGAAAACGCCGACCGAACTTTACAAAAGAGTTATTTACAGACCGGAGATACACATATATTTATACACACACACACACACACACACACACACACGAACGAACAGCAGTAGCAGCAATGGTGTGTTCAGAATTTTATTATAAAAGCAAAGAGGTGAGAATCTAAAACTGGACAACAACAAAAAACTGTCAGAAATAAAGTTAAAAGAGCCAGTTCAAAACAGCATAGCAGACAATTTTATTGTGTGTGTGGTGTGTGTGTGTGTGTGTGTCAGCAGCACTCACCTGACTGCAGAGCACACCTGTAGTGATAGTTGTTGGGACAGCCTTTGAAGAAACAGCCCAGTGTGGCTCCAGAGTGGTGACAGGCTGAACACGTCTGAAACACAGCAGGTCAGAGTCACATCATCTGGTCGTGTCTGCAGACTTGCGTCCAAGCAGCTGACAGTCGTGATGACTCTCCGTACAGGACACATGACTTCTGACGAGTTTTAATGCTCTACTATTTATTCAAAATCAGGGCAACAGTTTTAAAATGCTCTGAATTTATTTGTGCATTTAAAGAATAACACAACCACTACAGGAAACTGATTCACAGATGATGATCAGGACTCTTCTTAAGATGCTAAATGAACTTGAGCTTGAATAGCGTTGTCTAATCTTCTGACTACTCAAAGCTCTTTTACACCACATGTCACACCTACACATTCACACACTGATGGTAGAGGCTGCCGTGTAAAGAGTCCATCATTATTAACTCATCCATTCATACGCCGCTGACAAAGTAGGGGGAGCAACTTCAGGTTAAGTGTCTTGCCCAAGGACACATCGGACATGTGGCTGCAGGAGCTGGGTATCGAACCCCAGACCTTCCGGTTGAGAGACGACTGCCTTTTCCACTGAGCCACAGCCACCCATATAGAGTAAATTCAGAAATGTACAGAATCTGGGGGTCTGGACTGTCAGTGTGTGACCTGTTCTGGTTATCATTTGTAGTACATTTGTAGTCTGAGCTGTATTGACCAATCACGTAGCAGCAGGCTTTGGCGTAAACAGGTGAGAGCAGTCCGTGTGGACAACAACAAAAAGACGAAACGTTGACCACGCTAATGACATTCCAGCTCTGACTGATGGTATTCTGATGATTCACTGATCTCTACATGAAGCTGACAATCTGTTACCATTTAAACTGAGCCACACATCTGCTCTTTTAGATTTCCTGACTTCCTTGAAAGCATCAGAAGTGATCAATACGACCTTTTTAAAAAAGTAGTTTTCTCCTCTTGTTGAGGACAGACCGGGCAATGCTTGACCTTTGCCCTCATACTACACCATGATGGTATTTCATGTGAGAAAATCCTAAGAGCATTCGGTTTTTCCGGTTCAGACCTCTAAAGCCTCTGTTGAATATACAGTCTACTGAAAACGTGTCTTACCGTCTCGTTCGCCGCCCTCACCGCCTCCTCCAGCCCGTACACTCGGCCCCTCACCAGGAACACTCCTGCAGACCAGATCCCACAGTCCTCATGGAGCCAGTACTCACAGGGCTCCAGGGGGAGCACAGGGGGGCTGTACCAGTCCTCCATGTCTGCACAGCCAGCAGCAGACCGTGCCCGCTTCGTCGCAGGGCTGCCCGTACTGTCCCCGGTCCAGCAGGGGCTCTTCTGATGGGTGCTGAGGGGCCTCTGTGTGGAGGGACACTTCCTCCCCCGGCCCCTGACGTTGCAGGACGATGAGTCAGAGTCGCTGGAGCCGTTCTCGTCCTCTTTGATGCTGGTCTTGGTTTTGGTTCCCAGCTGGTAGCCCTCTGGGTAGTAGGGTCCGTGGAGGTCACCCAGGTCCATGGTGTTGGCGGAGCGTCCACACAGGCAGCAGACAAGCGAGCGGCGGTGCTGTCCGTGCGTGGACGCCCGGCCCAGCAGCAGACAGGACGTGCTGGGGATGGCCGCAGAGATGAAGGAGGTGAGGTGAGACTTCTGCTTCCTGTGCTGCGGTTGGACCTGCTCAGGGTAGTTTATCACCGAGCAGAGCGACGGCGAGGACGGCTGACGCTCCACACGCACATATGGAGAGAAAGTGTCCACCCTCAGCTCCCTCCTCTCCTCCCTGAAGTTCACATACTTCAGTTTGATCTCGGGTTCTTTGGGAGCGAACAAGGAGGACGGGGAGAAGCTCGGTGTGTGTTGCTTCTTCCTCTTCCTCCGAGGAGTCTTAGCAGCCGGAGACGCTTTCTGACCTGCAGCTTTACCTCTGCCTTTCTTTGGAGATGGAGTTTTTGATGATGAAGGCGGAGGGCGTCCAGAGGGTTTTGTTGGAGATCTCGCCACGTGATTTCCTCCTGAGGGTTCAGGGGGAGAGAGAAGCTCCGCCTCCTTCTTTGTGTTTCTAAACCGAGGGCTGTGTGACTGTTTAGAGTTCTTGATGATTTCAGATCAGAGGTAGACACTTTGCAGTTCTTACTGTTGACACTTTGACCTCTTTTCCTCGGACTGACAGCTTCTTTTGTTTTTCCAGAGAGAGAAACACTCGCTCTCCTTTTCTTCCGCCCTCCTGACACGCCGTCCGTCCTCTGAGCTAACTCGGAATCACTCACAGCTGATTGAGGTGTTTTTTTATTAGTGCGAATACATCCTGAAACTTCATACCTGTTGGAGTTTATGTTCATCACTATAGACTCTAAGCGCGTCCCTCTGCCGGAGCGCAGGGACACTTTCTTTCCTTTTAGCGTCCTCTGTAGTGTCTTTGTGTTCCCGTTAACGTGAGCGACAGTCTGAGGTTGATTTTCTGAATCGTCCTCCGTCAGGTCGATCATCTCCACCTTCTGTCTCGGTTTATTTTTATCACTTGACTCTAACCCTGTGGTACCCGCCCCCCCTGTCCTCAGGCCGTCCCTCACAGCCTCCTTCATCGTCTCCAGGTACGAGTTGTTTCCGCTGGGGGAGCAGGAGGCGTGAGGCATGACGAACACTTCTTCCACGCTCTCCGGCGAGGGAGACACCGGGTCCTCCAGAGTACTCCTGTAGTCCCCGTTCAGGTCTCTAACCCCCCCGCTGCCCTGGACCACCGCCTGCTCCGATTCAGCCCCAGCTAATGGACCGGACCAGGTGTCTTTCCTACCGTTCTCCAGACCCCAACACGTCCTCTGCTCCTCCTCAACATGTTTATCCAAGTCCACGCCACAGGTTATGTCTCCGCCGTTAACCTCACGACTCCGCTGTGTGAGATAACCCCCCCCCTCCGTCCCTGCTCCCCCCTGAGCCTGAGACAAAGACTGAAGAAGAGTCTGAGCAGCGAGGTCCATCGGCCCCTCCCCCTGCTCCACGTAATGCTGGTTTAGTGTCTCCCCGGGTCCTTTCTCAGGGTCACAGGGGGGGTGGAGGGACAGCCTGCTGACGGGGGGGACGCTGAAGGAAAGGGAGTCGTGGGTGGAGTAGACATGAGACCTGCTCACGTAGGACAGGGTGACGGTGGTGTGGGAGAAGGCGTTGTCCGGTTGGATCTGATCCCCGGGTTGGAGCGTGATGCCTGAGGGGGGGGGGCTGCTGGTTGCTGAATTGTGGTACAGGGCGGGTCTCGAGACCCTCCGCAGGCTGTTGAGGGAGGCGGGGCTTAGGACACAGTCCTCTCCTCCCATTGTCAAGTCAATGACAGCGGGGAGGCTGGAGGTGGAGAGGTCCTGAGGCTGGAGGTCGTCCACGCTCCCCGGCGGCTCCTCCATAACAGCTGAGAAAGACGGAGACGAGAAGTTCATATTTATAACTCACAACATCCTGTGTGGGAAGACGCTTTTTATATTTAACCCTCTACTACCCACAGTGCATCAGGTCCATATTTCATAACAACTCCCTGCAGCTGCTGTCAGGTTCAAATCATTCCCAGAACACAGTAAATAAACTCTGAGCTTCATATGATCGATTCTTGATGACGTCAACAACCAGGACCAGAAGAAATCATTCTGAGACCCGAGTTCTTCCTTCTACAGTTTTAACTCAGTTTGAGTCGAGATGTCAAAATGTTTAATATCCAACTTTGATATCAAAATGATACAATCTCTATTTCTCATAATGGATGGTATCTAAAAGTATCAAAGCTAAAAAAAACAAAAAAAAACGACATCTTCAGATGCTTGCTTTACCGAAAACCTTTTTACTGCAAATCTACAAATGCCTCTGCAGGGGAAGCGTTCCTGTCCTTATTTTAATGAAGAAGTCTTGAGAGTGGGTTGTAAAACAGATCCAGTGTGCAGCTCTGATGTCTTCATTTAAAAAAAAAGCCATGACATAGATCCCATAATGCACAACAGCCAGGGTTATCAAGAGTCCAGTATTTTGAACTTCAGTACGATACTACTACAAATCGAACCATATCAATCAATACCTGTTGGATACCATGGCAACAAGAATAGAAGTCAGAGACGCCAAAAACTGAAAATGTTCCTGCAGATGGTCTCAATTGCACAAATACGTGCAAAGGGTTTCTCTGTCTCTCTCTCGTGTAGCTTTGGTTAGAAAAACACTAGTACAGTTTCTGTACTTTCTCTTACTAATGATGGTTTAAATAACAGACTATCATTATAAAACATATATTGAAAAGAGTCGACGTTTTGACCACCTCACAGCGGGACTAACCGGCCGTCTTACACCGCTTTCAGGAAGCAGCGAAGAGTCTGTAAACTTTTCGAGTGTTTGTGAATTCCTTCACAGAGATTCTGTCTTTTTCTCACTCACACGGATCCCGACACGACCTCCTCCTCCATCTGTTCTGTTGGTTGGTATAACTTTGCTGTGAGGGATTTTGAGTAGCGAGGGGACAGAATCTGATCCGATGTCGGCATCAGGTCCGATATTGACGTAATTTACGTATCGGATATCGGACCACGTCACCTCTGTGCACTTTTAAACATTCTGTGCTCGCACAGTCTCACTCTGAAGATGTTTAGACTGAACTATAAGAAGTGTCTACATCACCGTCTCCATGACGACATGTTCAATACAACCGTTACACTAAAGGTTAAAAGATTTAATTTGAAAAGCTCACAGTTGCTGTTTCCTGTTTGTATGTGAAGGCAGCAGAAAGTTCAGAAACACTTAATTATCAATATTCTAATTTAAAGAGTGGATTTTTTAACAAAGCAGAAACTATGGAGCAGACTTTAACAAGTTTCTGCACTTTGCCTCAACTTTTGTTTAAGGTAATGTTGTAAAACTTCAATAAAAAGAAGTTAAAACCACAAATGTTCATCTTTCAGCTGACGTCACGTTAGCTTGACATTAGCTAAAAAGCTTGAATTTAATTAACGGTAGAGAACATGGCAGCCATTAATGACAATTACATAATTAATCTAATCACAAATTAATATTTTATTAATTAATATGATTGATATCCGCGGATACAATTATCCAGACACCCGACTGACCTTTCACCCCCGCCGCTGTCAGGTCAGCGTTGCTATGAGAGTTAGCTTAGCCGCAGCTAACGCTCGGCAGCGAGGCCCTGGACGCAGAGCTCCGTTCACAATCCGTCACATTTAATGGATTTGATTAAAGACAGACAGTTAAAGGCCACACGGTGAGGATTTATGACTTTATCTCATTAACAAGTATTTACTTTTATTTCGGCGACATCTGCTTTGTGGAGAAGCTTTTTAATTTGATAAAATAACAACTTTTAGAGCTCAAAGGATCCAAACTGCTCAATAACTTTGATGAAATCAAAACGCTCAAATCAGTCAGTAAATATAACATCTTTATCTGAAGGGTGTTATTTAATGGATTTAATGGATTCCGAATGTAAGAGTGGGTCTAAACTATTTGTAGAAGTGTATTTATTTCTTCTTAGAGTCACAGATTTAACGGTAATTAAGGTTTTATTAAATCGTGGATAACTTTCATGGAGTTTGGCAACACGTTCTTTCCATTAACATGAACGGGAGGCATCAGGGCAAGGCCCGGCTGGATGAAACAAAGAGGTAATGCGCCGAAACTTACCGGGACCGGAGAGACCGCGGCGTGTTTAACCGTCCAGAGGTGAGTGTGTCCCGGCCTGCATCTCCTCCAACAGCCCGTCACCTCTGTTAAAATCTAAAACACCACAGAGACAGACAGGAGACACAAACATTTAATAAAGATCTACACACTTTCCCGGAACACACTACTCTGATGGCAACAGCGTCACTTTCACAGCGATGTAATCTCTCACATCCGGCTGAGCCTTCACAATAAAACATTCAGGTTACGCTTTCATCGTTTCCTTTTCCCTTCTTTATTTCAAAGTTAAATTATGTAGAAAAGACAACTAGTTACATTAAATTAAGATTTTTTTGGGAAAAAAGCACATTTCGAGTTATAATTCTTAGAATGAAAAAAAAAATGTTGTCGAGAAAGAAGTGAAGATAATTACACAAAGTCAAAAAAATGAGATAAAGAGGTTTTAAGTTATGAAATAAAAAGTCAAACTATTAGATGAAAAGGTTGATATTATGAGATAGAAAGTCTAAAATGTTAAATAGATATCAAAATTATAAAATAAAGCGTTGAAATTATGAGATTTAAACATGACATTTTGAGATCAAAATAAAAAAACAAGTGAAAAAGTAATAATGAGATCTCAAACTAGACTTGAACCCTGTTCTTCTCTACACGTCTCTCTCAGGTCTGCCATGTATGTTATAATATGTTTTGATATTATTTTCTCTCTGGTCTGCTTCCTTCAGACTGTTTGACCTCCATCCGTCAGAAGAGAACGAGGACTTATCATCTTCAGTCTCAGGACATTTTCTTACCACCTGTTCCAAACGTCAGAACTGAACTCCCTGTACTCTGAACCAATCACAACAAGAGCTGAGACTCAACGAGCTGCTCTGATTGGACTTTAAATGGCTTGGAGGCGGACATATCTGGCTGCAGATGTTCTCCCTGTTTTGTTTGTGGATGAAACATTTGCTGTTTAAATTTGTTGTTTGTGTATTCTAAGTTCTAAGTGTCTAATAATGACTCAACATTTAAGAGACCTTTTCAAATTAAAAGTTGAATAAGCACACGTGTGGATGTTGTAATTCAGACGACGTGATGACGTAGGTGACGTTGCTGAATACAGATATTAATGTTTAGATGTTAGCATGAAGGCAGCTCAAAGAGAAAACTACAAACAGTCAGATTACAAACCGGGTGGACAAGTTTACTGTTCATCACTTCCGGTTGTGTGTGATCCCACTGTGGGTAACTTGACGGGTCACTCTGAGCAGCAGCTGTCACTCAGCTGTGGAGCAGAAAGGCATCATGGGAGATAAGTGGTCGAACCTGCTGCGGTCCAATTAAAGGACCTCAGAGATTAAAACCTTCTGACAGTTATTAATTAATTAAGCAAATTAAAATATCAAATATCAAGTGTTTCACAATGCAGGGCAAACCTACACATTCACACACTGATGGTAGAGGCTGCTGGGTAAAGAGTCCATCAGTATCAACATCGGACATGTTGCTGCAGGAGCTGGGAATCGAACCCTTGTTCTTCTGGTTGAGAGACGACTTTACTACTGAGTCAAAGCCGCCTTATAGCAGGGCAACAAGTGTGAGTGCTCTTCAGACGGGGCCCCCTTAGGGAGGCTTCTTACTGTCAATACTTTCCACATTCTTGGGCTACTTTGGATTTAAAGTTTGTCGGCCCTCGGGGGCCCCAAGCAGCGCCTCTGACAGAGAGGAATTCTTAAAATATATTTATATAAAATGTTGATTTTAATAGTAATTGTATTTAAAAGTCATAATGTTGGCCACTGAGATGCGCTTTAAAAGACGGGTTTCTTCTACGCACAAAATAAAAAACTTTTTAAAATAAAAGTATTTTCTTTTTTTGACAGATTTGTGTTCATGTTAAAAAGTATCTTGTTAAGAAGTTAAAGTTGTACCTGTTTTTTAAACTCAAAGATTAGTTTTGTTTTTCCTTCGCTGCATGCTTCTCTGAATCCTCGGATCCATTAGAGATGTTTTATACCTGCATCCAGTTTATCTGTGACATCAATCTTTGGATTCTGTGAATCATGGAGCACAGTCTGTATCAATGTTTGAAGCCTAAGTGATGTCACCCGTCTGTTCCTGCAGGGGGCGCTGGAGTCCAGAATCGATGGCAGTCTCCATGCTGGAAATGCTGTCTCAGCCTAACTTTCAGTCAACTTAACGACAAGCTGAGAGCTGGAGCTGAGGTGGGTTTTAAACCTCCTGACAAACTGTTACACCGCACCCACCTGTCAATTATGTCAGCTACACGCCTTATTGTGAATAACTCTTCATCGAGAGAACCCTTCATCAAATCAAAACGGATGAGTCATGAAAACATTCACACCCCGTACAGTGTGTGTTGATCGAGACATGAGCTAATCAGACCTGTTTGTTTTTTTGAACCAGGCTGTAAACATGTTCATCTCTGCTGTAAAAACAGGCTTTTAGAATGGGTGTGTATGACTTCCTGTGCTTCTGCAGCCAGCCTCTAGTGGACACTCGAGGAACTGCAGGATTTTACACTTCAGCATCTGCTTCAGTTTTCAACACCTGAGGTTGCTGCTTGGTTTTAACCAATCAGAAAGCTCTTGATGAACTTTGATTTTACAGCCGTTTGTAAATGTTCGTTAGCTGCTGTGGTTGAGTGAGAAGTGTTTCAGTTTAAATATCACCTCAAGAGAGCCTCTAATATGTCAGGTCATTATATTTCACCTCCTCTCTGTGATTTTAGCAGATTTGTATTTTCATCCCGTGTGTATCGCTCTCATGATCCTCATATTTGAGTCACTCTTGTTTTTTCCTCTGTGAAGCTCAAAATAAATCTGTGACAAACACAACTAAGGGTGCAAAAATATTTATTGCTAATAAACTTGTTGTCAGTTGGTGTATATTTGCTTTATATTTACAATAATAGAGTACAGAGGAATGGGAATGTGAAAGAAAAGATCCCAACCGCTTCAATAAATACAAAGGGACTGAACAGACTACAGCTCCACCCCTCCTCCTCATTGGCTCCGCCCACGACTGCAGCGAGAGAAAACAAACACACTCGATATAAACTTTCTTATATATAAAATTAAATTAGAATCAGTGAACGCGTCCGTGCCGGTCTCAGATGGATCCGAGAACCTTCCGGGTGTTAGTGTGGGAGTCGGGCGATGGAGGAACATGGCGGCTGTTTGTTCCCGATGCAGACGAGCTCGTTTCTCTCTGCCGCCTGTGCTGCAGGTTATCGGAGCATCGGAGCGCTAACGTGCACGCCTGAACGCCACGCTGGCTCCTGTAGGGTCAGTATGAAGTGTCATCGTAACATTCCTGCCTTTGGCTAGCAACAGTCTAGAGTTAAAACAGTAGCTTACACAGTCAGAGTTTAAAATCAGAATATTTACAGTAAGACAAAACGTCACAGTTAACTGAAGTGCATGGAATGCAAACATCTAGAAATTCAAACTTCATCTTCTCAGTAACATACGATGTGTTTGTGACCAGTGTGTAGTGTTTCTAAATGAGTCAGTACAGAGCTAAAATATAAGGTGGCCTTGAACATGCAGGCGGACTTGAAGTGTCGCTGTCAGAACTCCTTGGTGTCTTTGTTGTCGAACAGGTGGAGTCTCTGCTCGGCCGTCAGCCCCTCCTTCAGACTCTGCGGGGAGAGAAAACACATCAACAACCTGGGACAAACACACGCTCCTCTCTGCACAGATGTTCCTGTGTCTGAACATCTGTCCTCCTCACCATGTGATGACATGCTCCGCCCCCTCTCACCACAAACAGCTGATTACACCCTGTGAGCTGTGGAGCCCCGAAACCAAGGAGAGGCAGAGAAAAGGCGAGTGAGAAATGTAACTACGGTAAACTCTGTAGTATCAGGAGCTGTTTCATTCTCAGCCTGTGTTTGAGTCTCTCAGAGGTGAAAAAGGTTTAAAGTGTCGTCCTGTGATGATTTGTGTTCATCAGCGGTCAGTCTCGTTCAGTACCATCTGTGTCCACCAGGTAGAGTTTGTAACCCTGCTAGCTACCTGCTAGTCGAGCTCTCTGCCTGCGCACACATCAAGTTTCTTTCTCTGATAAATCATTTTTTTAGATGTAGTCTGAGTCGTTATTTGATAGGACGGGGGATACAGTGGGACATTAGGGAGAGAGAAAAGAGAGAGGGGAAGTGACAGCAAGAAAGACTCTGCGGGTTGGACTTGAACCCGGGCGGTCCACTTGGAGGACTACAGCCTCTGTACATGACCTATCTGCACGGCTATGATTTATTAGGTAGTAATATTAAACACAAGTCTAATCTTCTTATAGGAGTGATATGCAACTCAAAACATAGAGAGCTGCCTCCCCCCGCCCCCTCCCCTCTAGAGTCCATGCTCACTCAGGTTGCCATGTGGTGGACACTGAAGCTTCAGTGTTTATCCAGCTCTGCATCGGTCTGTAAACCTTTCTGCGTTCTAACCTCTCTCCATTTTTTAAAAACATCTCCAATATTGATCCTAGTTTGAGCACGTTTCAGCTCGTGGAGCTTATTAGAAACATGCAGAGGCTTTTTAGGTCGGGTACAATCACTTCTATCTGAACCACTTCTCTTGCCCGCTTCCATCTCTGCAACACCTGTTGGTTTGACCTGATAACTGGTCTCACATCTGGCAAACTGAGGGGCGTCCAAAACGGCCGTGTGGGGGTGCCTTAAAACCACCTACCTTCTCTGGTCCAAACAAATCCAGAGCATTCAGGAGCAGAATCTAAAGTTAGAAGGAGGACATACTGGCTGCTGCATTGTTGTCAGAGAAGCCAGCACTTCAACATAACATGTTTCCTTAATGTCTGATCATAGAGTAAGGTCACTTTATCATTTCACTCATTACACATCTCACTGATTGGACCTTTAAAACATGAATTACTGCAGTACCCATTTTAAACACTAGGTGTCAGAGTTACAGATTGCTTCTTTGATGTTTGTTCAGGGATAAAAGAATATATTAAAATTTAAAACAGCTTGATGTCTTTAGTCTAAAGTAATGTTTCTGTAGTTAAATTTTTACTCCTCTGATCTTTGAATATTTATCTTTCCTGTTTTGGGGGCTCCACAGTTACAAACTGAACATGAAATGACAAACAAAATTATTATTGATTAAATGTTATAAACCCAGTCACACTCGTCATTCATCCTTCACCCTCATGCATCAGTCAGCTGGAGCTCTAAG